AGGAGTCCCACGAAAGAGAGAGGCTTTCAAACGAATGAGAGGAGTCGAACGAACAAGATAGGACTTGAACGAAAGAGAGGCCTGAAACGAAAAAAGAGCAGAGAGAAACGAAAGAAGGACTTTGAACGAAAGCCAGCAGGAGTCCAACGAAAGAGAGAAGATTTCAAACGAATGAGAGGAGTCGAACGAACAAGATAGGACTTGAACGAAAGAGAGGCCTGAAACGACAAAAGAGCAGAGAGAAACGAAAGAAGGACTTCAAACGAAAGCCAGCAGGAGTCCAACGAAAGAGAGCGGTTGCAAACGAATGAGAGGAGTCGAACGAACAAGACAGGACTTGAACGAAAGAGAGGTCTCAAACGAAAAAAGAGCAGCGAGAACCGAAAGAAGACTTCGAACGAAAGTCAGCCGGAGTCCAACGACAGGGAGAGGTTTCGAACGAATGAGAGGAGCCGAACGAACAAGACAGGACTTGAACGCAAGAGAGCTCTCAAACGAAAAAAGAGTATAGAGAGAAACGAAAGAAGACTTCGAACAAAAGCCACTTGAACGAAAGAGACGTCTCAAACGAAAAGAAAGCAAAGAGAAACGAAAGAAGACTTCGAACGAAAGTCAGCAGGAGTCCAACGAGAGAGAGAGAATTTCAAACGAATGAGAGGAGTCGAACGAACAAGGCAGGACTTGAACGAAAGAGAGGTCTCAAACGAAAAACGAGCAGAGAGAAACGAAAGAATTACTTCGAACGAAAGGCAGCAGGAGTCCAACGAAAGGGAGAGGTTGCAAACGAATGAGAGGAGTCGAACGAACAAGACAGGACTGGAACGAAAGAGAGGCCTGAAAAGAAAAAAAAAAAGAGCATAGAGAAACGAAAGAAAGACTTCCAACGAAAGTCAGCAGGAGTCCAACGAAAGAGAGAGGATTTCAAACGAATGAGAGGAGTCGAACGAACAAGGCAGGACTTGAACGAAAGAGAGGTCTCAAACGAAAAAAGAGCAGAGAGAAACGAAAGAATTACTTCGAACGAAAGTCAGCAGGAGTCCAACGAAAGAGAGAGGTTGCAAACGTGAGGAGTCGAACGAAACAAGACAGGCGAAGACAGGGCTTGAACGAAAGAGAGAGAGAGAGGATTTCAAACGAATGAGAGGATTCGAACGAACAAGAAAGGACTGGAAGGAAAGAGAGGCCTGAAAAGAACAAAAAGAGCATAGAGAAACGAAAGAAAGACTTCCAACGAAAGTCAGCAGGAGTCCCACGAAAGAGAGAGGCTTTCAAACGAATGAGAGGAGTCGAACGAACAAGATAGGACTTGAACGAAAGAGAGGCCTGAAACGAAAAAAGAGCAGAGAGAAACGAAAGAAGGACTTCGAACGAAAGCCAGCAGGAGTCCAACGAAAGAGAGAAGATTTCAAACGAATGAGAGGAGTCGAACGAACAAGATAGGACTTGAACGAAAGAGAGGCCTGAAACGACAAAAGAGCAGAGAGAAACGAAAGAAGGATTTCAAACGAAAGCCAGCAGGAGTCCAACGAAAGAGAGCGGTTGCAAACGAATGAGAGGAGTCGAACGAACAAGACAGGACATTGAACGAAAGAGAGGTCTCAAACGAAAAAGAGCAGCGAGAACCGAAAGAAGACTTCGAACGAAAGTCAGCCGGAGTCCAACGACAGGGAGAGGTTTCGAACGAATGAGAGGAGCCGAAGGAACAAGACAGGACTTGAACGCAAGAGAGCTCTCAAACGAAAAAAGAGCAGAGAGAAACGAAAGAAGACTTCGAACGAAAGCCACTTGAACGAAAGAGACGTCTCAAACGCAAAGAAAGCAAAGAGAAACGAAAGAAGACTTCGAACGAAAGTCAGCAGGAGTCCAACGAGAGAGAGAGGATTTCAAACGAATGAGAGGAGTCGAACGAACAAGGCAGGACTTGAACGAAAGAGAGGTCTCAAACGAAAAAAGAGCAGAGAGAAACGAAAGAATTACTTCGAACGAAAGTCAGCAGGAGTCCAACGAAAGAGAGAGGTTGCAAACGAATGTGAGGAGTCGAACGAAACAAGACAGGGCTTGAACGAAAGAGAGAGAGAGAGAGAGGATTTCAAACGAATGAAAGGAGTCGAACGAACAAGATAGGACTTGAACGAAAGAGAGGCCTGAAACGAAAAAAGAGCAGAGAGAAACGAAAGAAGGACTTCAAACGAAAGCCAGCAGGAGTCCAACGAAAGAGAGCGGTTGCAAACGAATGAGAGGAGTCGAACGAACAAGACAGGACTTGAACGAAAGAGAGGCCTGAAACGAAACAAGAGCAGAGAGAAACGAAAGAAGGACTTCGAACGAAAGCCAGCAGGAGTCCAACGAAAGAGAGAGGTTGCAAACGAATGAGAGGAGTCGAACGAACAAGACAGGACTTGAACGAAAGAGAGGTCTCAAACGAAAAAAGAGCAGAGAGAAACGAAAGAAGACTTCGAACGAAAGTCAGCCGGAGTCCAACGAAAAGGAGAGGTTTCGAACGAATGAGAGGAGCCGAACGAACAAGACAGGACTTGAACGAAAGATAGCTCTCAAACGAAAACAGAGCAGAGAGAAACGAAAGAAGACTTCGAACGAAAGCCACTTGAACGAAAGAGACGTCTCAACTCAAACGAAAAAAGAGCAGAGAGAAACGAAAGAAGACTTCGAACGAAAGTCAGCAGGAGTCCAACGAGAGGAGGAGTCGAACGAACAAGAGAGGACTGGAACGAAAGAGAGGCCTGAAAAGAACAAAAAGAGCATAGAGAAACGAAAGAAAGACTTCCAACGAAAGTCAGCAGGAGTCCAACGAAAGAGAGAGGATTTCAAACGAATGAGAGGAGTCGAACGAACAAGGCAGGACTTGAACGAAAGAGAGGTCTCCTCATGCGAAAGAAGAGCATAGAGAAGCGAAAGAAGGACTTCCAACGAAAGTCAGCAGGAGTCCAACGAAAGTTAGGGAGAGGTTGCAAACGAATGAGAGGAGCCGAAAGAACAAGACAGGACTTGAAGGAAAGAGAGGCCTGAAACGAAAAAAAAAAGCAGAGAGAAACCATTGCACGCGGGTTCGGGTACACGCGCGCACCCTGAAAAGCGTCAAAGCCGCAAAGCCGCAAAGCCGCCATGGAACGCTCAAGCCGCAAAGCCGCAAAGCCCCCATGGAACGCGCAAGCCGCAAAGCTGCAAAGCCGCAAAGCCGCAAAGCTGCCATGGAACGCGCAAGCCGCAAAGCCGCAAAGCGGCAAAGCCGCAAAGCCGCAAAGCCGCCAAGCCGCCAAGCCGCCAAGCCGCCGAGCCGCAAGCTCTGCGACTCATGCGCCGCCTCCTGCGTTCATCGCCGCTGCGTTGCCACCGCCATGGATCGCTGAAGCCGCAAAGCCGCAAAGCCGCAACTCTGAGACGCAGGCGCCGTCTCCTGTGTTCATCGCCGCTGTGTTGCCAGAGCATCAAGAAGCGTCAAAGAGCCGCAAACCGCCAAGGCGTCGAAGCACCACGAAGCGTCAAAGCGGCAAAGCTTCAAGAAGCGCCAAAGCGTCAAGAAGCGTCATTGCAAAGCTTCAAGAAGCGGCACAGCGCCGAAGCGTCAAAGAGCCGCCAACGAAAGGCTGGCTGTGCTTAGAAGGGGACGGGCTTGCTTACGGAAAGAGGTCTGCAACCAAAGGCTGGCTGTGTTTAGAAGGCGGGCTTGCATATTGCGAGACAATTCGTAGCGAATTCCGAAGAACAATGGCAGATGTTATGGCAACCCCCAAAAGATTGAAACGTAGCATTCGACTAAACGAATGGCAATTTTCCTCCCTATTTGGTTGAAAGATATTATCTACAATGTCCCCCCCGGTGTGATAGACAGTCCCGGCCTATGCGACACAGACCTTGCAAAAACAACTTTAAACAAGAACAAGAACAAGAACAGCAACAACAACCACAACCACAACAACCACAACCACAACAACCACAACCACAACCACAACAACAACCACAGCCACAACCACAACCACAACCACAACCAACAACAACAACAACAACAACAACAACAAGAACAAAAACAAGAACAACAACAATAGCAATAACAGGAACAAAAACAATAACAAGAACAACAACAACAACAACAAAAACAAAAACAACAACAACAACAACAACAACAACAACCACAACCAACAACAACAACAACAACAACAACAACAACAACAACAACAGCAACAACCAGAATAACAAGAATAAGAAGTGCTAATAAAAAACAAGAGCACAAACAACTATAACAACTTTAAAAACAAGAACAAAAACGAAGACCAGAACAAGAGAAATAATAGCAAGTTCTTGGAAGATCTGGATGCTACCCAAGAAGATCTTGTACTGAACTTTCAATCATCTTGTATGATTTTGGTTGCTATGGAGTAAGACTTTATCCTTTACATTCAATCATCTTGAGTGTTACGGTGTAAGATCGTGCCCTTGACATTCAATCATCTTGGACGCTGCGCTCGAAGCGCTTGTCCTTAACTTTGAACATCTTGGAAGATATGCTCTAAAATCTTGTCCATGAATTACAAACATCTTGGATGCTTCGCTGTAAGATCTTACCCTTAATTTTCAATCACCTTTGATGCTACGGTGTAAGATCGTGCCCTGAACTTTCAATCCTCTTGAATGCTACTGTGTAAGCCTTGTCCTTAACTTGCAAACATGTTGGATGATACGCCGTAAGGGGGTGTTGGATGGTACGCTGTAAGCTGTTGTCCTTAGCCTTCAAACATCTTGGATGCAAGCATGTAAGATCTTGTCCATAAATTACAAACATCATTGGTGCTTCGGCGTAAGATCTTGTGCTTTCAAACATCTTGGGCGCTACAGAGTCAGATCTTGTCCTTAACTTTCGATCATCCTTGATGCTACGCTGTCAGATCGCAGCCTGATCTTGCAATCATCTGGGATGCTACCGTGTAAGATTTTTTCCTTGACTTGTAAATCTTTGTTGCTACGAAGCAAGATCTTGTCCTTAACCTTCAAACATGTCGGATGCTACGCTCCAAGATTCTGTTTGTCTTGTCCCTAACCCTCAAACATGTTGGATGATACGCTGTAAGTTCTTGTCCTTGACGAACAAGAACAAGAACCAGAACAAGAGAAAGAACCATAACCACAAGATTAGAAACAAGAACCACAACATCAGCAACAACAACAGCAGCAGCAACAACAAGAACAAAAATAACAATAACAAAACACAATAGTTAAACAACAAGAGCAAGAACAGCGATAACAACATTAATAACAAGAACACGAACGAAAACGAGAACAAGAGAAATAATAACAAGTTCTTGGAAGATCTGGATGCTGCCCAAGAAGATCTTGTCCTGAACTCTCAAGCATCTTGTATGATTTTGGTTGCTATGGAGTAAGACTTTGTCCTTAACTTTCAATCATCTTGGGTGCTACGGTGTAAGATCGTGCCCTTGACATTCAATCATCTTGGATGCTACGCTCGAAGAGCTTGTCCTTAACTTTGAACATCTTGGAAGCTATGCCCTAAGACCTTGTTCTTGAATTACAAACATCTTGAATCTGGGATGCCACGCTGTAAGACCTTGCCCTTAATCTTCAAACACCTTTGATGCAACGGTGTCAGGTCTTGTCCTTAAGTTCTAAACATGCTTGATGCTACTTTGCAAGATCCTCTCCTTAACTTCCCAGCATCTTGGATGTTACGGTGCAAGATTCTGTCCTTAACTTTCAAACATGTTTGATGCTATGCTGAAAGGCCTTGTCCTTAACTTTCAATCATTATGGATTGTACGGTGTAAGATCTTGTCCTTAACTTTCAGCCATCTTGGATAACACGCTGTAAGACCTGTCCTTAACTTTCAATCATCTTGGGTGCTACGCTGTCAGGTCTTGTCCCCAACCTTCAGACATGTTGGATGATACGCTGCAAGTTCTCGTCCTTGCCTTACAAAAACAAAAGCCGCAACAGCAAAAGCAAGATTAAGACTCTGGTCAAGATGGAGATTTTTCCTTCAACCAATCTATTGATGGTCGGCTTCAAAACTCCGCAGGGCCTGGTTTATAAGATCTGCTATAGGTATGACGATGGAATTCAAACCTCCACCAGTTAGAATATACCCTTTTCATCAATGATGACATGCTCAATCAGCAAAGTTATAAGTTATAACACACTCAAAGATGTTATGACCCGCGAAACGGCGACTTACAAACCACGCTTGTTAATCACCTACTAAGGTAAACCATCATTAAACAACCCACAAAAATTACTAAACAGGTAGTCGTAAGTTCGCTGGCTGCAGGTGAGCGCTGGCCCTCAAATACAAACAATCTGGCCCTTTGTTTTTTTCTCCGAAACAGTTTTTATACCTATGTTTCAATCGGTGCTTGAAAAAAGTAAAATCTACAAAATCACTTTTTTTCCAAGATGGCATGTCTCAAAGAGCCGCAAAGTGCCAAAGCGTCACAGAGCCGCGAAGTCTCAAAGCGCCAAGAAGCGCCAAAGCGTCAAAGAGCCGCAAAGCGCCAAAGGGCCAAGAGGCACCAAAGCATCAAGAGCGCCAAGCGCCAAAGCGCCAAAGCGCCAAAGCGCCAAAGCGTCAAAGAGCCGCAAAGCGCCAAAGGGCCAAGAGGCACCAAAGCATCAAGAGCGCCAAGCGCCAAAGCGCCAAAGCGCCAAAGCGCCAAAGCATCCAAGCGTTCAGGCTTTGAGGCTTTGAGGCTTTGAGGCGTCGGAAAAGCGTCAAGAAGCGCCAAAGTGTGCAAGAACCGCCAAGCGCCAAAGCGCTAAAGCGCCAAAGCATCCAAGTGTTCAGGCTTTGAGGCTTTGAGGCTTTGAGGCGTCGGAAAAGCGTCAAGAAGCGCCAAAGCCTGAAAGAGCCGCCAAGCGCCAAAGCGCCAAAGCGCCAAAGCGCAAAAGCATCCAAGCGTTCAGGCTTTGAGGCTTTGAGGCTTTGAAGCGTGAGGCGCCAAAGAGGCTTTGCAGCTTTGAGGCTTTGAGGCGTGAGGCGCCAGAGAGGCTTTGGAGCTTTGAGGCTTTGAGGCGTGAGGCGCCAAAGAGGCTTTGCAGCTTTGAGGCTTTGAAGCTTTGAGGCGTGAAGCGCCAAAGAGGCTTTGCAGCTTTGAGGCTTGGCAAACCTTAGCGGGCCTGATCCCCCATACTCTGAGAGAAACAGAGTATGGGGGATCAGGCCCGCTAAACATTGAAACGAAAGAAGGACTTCGATTGAAAGCCAGGAGGAGTCTAACGAAAGAGAGAGGTTGCAAACGAATGTGAGGAGTCGAACGAAACAAGACAGGGCTTGAACGAAAGAGGACAGGCTCTGACGGAAGAGGACAGACTCTGACGGAAGAAGGTGGGCTTCAACGGAAGAGGATAGACCCGAACGGAAGACTCTTAGCGGAAGACTCTTGTAACGGAAAGGATGGATCCGAACGGAACAGGACAGGCCGCTAGCCTAGCAGAAGAGAATAGACTCTAACGATCCCCCTTGGAATTTTTTAGGGGTACCTGTCCAACGTCAACGTTTGCGATTTTATCGTGGACGTTGGTGTCAGCAATTCTATAGAGATTTCATGTTGAAAACAGCATTGGGTACTAGTAAGCTAAGAGTCTTGTCACATCTGTGAGGGAACATCTACCAACAAGGCTATCAGATAAACATCATCATCATCATCATCATCAGCATCAGCATCAGCATCAGCATCATCATCATCATCATCATCATTTGAGCCACGAAAAAAACCTCAATGTATTGTTTATGTAAGGGAGTTATACTACATCACTTTCGCGAAACAGAAATGCTGGGTCGCGAAAGATCGCGAAAGTAATTTGCTTCGCGAAAGGTCGCGAAAGAGAAGTTTAAGATATTTCAAATTGTTTGTTTTGTTCAAGATGGCATGTCTTAGAGACGTTTCGAAGCTGACAGGCGTCAAGAAGCTGAGAGGTGTCAAGAAGCTTAGAAGCGTTTAGAGGCTTAGAGGCGTTTAGAGGCTTCGAGGCGTTTAGTGGCTTCGAGGCGTTTGGAGGCTTAGAGGCGTTTAGAGCCTTAGAGGTGTCAAGAAGCTTAGAAGCGTTTAGAGGCTTAGAGGCTTAGAGACTTAGAGGCGTTTAGAGGCGTTTAGAGGCGTTTAGAGGCTTAGAGGCGTTTAGAGGCTTAGAGGCGTTTAGAGGCTTAGAGGCGTTTAGAGGCTTAGAGGCTTAGAGGCGTTTAGAGGCTTTCGTTTAGAGGAGGCGTTTAGAGGCTTAGAGGCGTTTAGAGGCTTAGAGGCGTTTAGAGGCTTAGAGGCTTAGAGGCTTAGAGGCGTTTAGAGGCGTTTAGAGGCTTAGAGGCGTTTAGAGGCTTAGAGGCGTTTAGAGGCTTAGAGGCGTTTAGAGACGTTTAGAGACGTTTAGAGGCTTAGAGGCGTTTAGAGGCTTAGAGGCGTTTAGAGGCGTTTAGAGGCTTAGAGGCGTTTAGAGGCTTAGAGGCTTAGAGGCGTTTAGAGGCGTTTAGAGGCTTAGAGGCGTTTAGAGGCTTAGAGACGTTTAGAGGCTTAGAGGCTTAGAGGCGTTTAGAGGCTTAGAGGCGTTTAGAGGCTTAGAGGCTTAGAGGCGTTTAGAGGCTTAGAGGCGTTTAGAGGCGTTTAGAGGCGTTTAGAGGCTTAGAGGCTTAGAGGCGTTTAGAGGCTTAGAGGCGTTTAGAGGCTTAGAGGCTTAGAGGCTTAGAGGCGTTTAGAGGCTTAGAGGCGTTTAGAGGCTTAGAGGCTTACGGGCTGCCTCCGGACATTAGAGACTTAGAGGCTTAGAGGCTTACAGGCTGGACATTAGAGGCTTAGAGGCTTAGAGGCTTACAGGCTGCCTCCAGACATTAGAGGCTTAGAGGCTTAGAGGCTTACAGGCTGCCTCCAGACATTAGAGGCTTAGAGGCTTAGAGGCTTAGAGGCGTACAGGCTGCCTCCAGACATTAGAGGCTTAGAGGCTTAGAGGCTTACAGGCTGCCTCCAGACATTAGAGGCTTAGAGGCTTAGAGGCTGGCGACGAACTGGAACCCCCCCTCCCGCTACGATGCGCTATCAGCGCCGGTACCTAGTTTCATGACCGCACTGAAGAGCTGCTTGTGATGCATGAAAGAGTGGTCAAGACCGGATTGCCATGGAAAAAGAAGGTTCTGATTCTCAATTCAGTCCACCACGGAATGGTTTTTGCTTGGGGTACCGTGGCACGGGTCCACAGTGGTTGGCAAAGATTTGTTTCTTTTGTCAAATATTGTTGTAAGTCTTGGTTTTCGCGGTTGGTCAAACCTCCCCTTCATGTTAGTCAAACCATCTTAAACGATCCCTAAATCATTTTGTTACACAACCCTTCATCCCCAGGATGGCTCACTTTCCGTCCTTTGCTGCTCACCTTAACCGCAGGAGGTTACGACTCTCCTGGAAAGGACACGCTCGCGGCAACAGCTGTTTGGCGCTCGGGTTTGGTGGATGCCCATACATGGGGAGTAATGCTAGCCCAGAACTACCAGCAGTTTGATAAGGAAAAAATTAGAAAAAACGGTTATAAATCACTTGATTTTTGGGGTACCGCGTTTGTAGACCACTTCAGATCAAACAATGACATTGGTGGTTTGCTCTCAAATACCGGCGTAGTTGCCTGCATTTGTTCCTTGTAAGCACTGGCTTGGAGGGATATAGTCAGTGATTGGAACCCCAAGAAATCTCAATGAAGACTGACTGGTTGCAGGTTGCTGGATATACTTGTAAGATTTATCAGGGGGGTTCCTAAAATCGGTGTATCCAAAATTGGATGCCTTATTATGGTTTTTAATAGAAAATCCCATGAACATGGATGATGCGGGCGTACCCCCCATTTTAGGAAACCATCATAATGTTCAACCTTGGTCGGGATGATGGTCCCCAAGGTACTTTCATGTTTTGGTGATGGGTTGAAGTCAGTAACCTTGTCCTCTCCTTTTTGAGGTGTGCTGTTAATGATTTGTGTTCCTGGCAACCTCTTGATCCCTTGAGTGGTTGGATTGGTTCAAGAATCTTTTGGATTTTGACCAGAAACAGTTTGGTTTCTTACAAATATTATGGTTGACTTCAAATGCACTTTGGATGATGGGAGAACCCAACTGCTGTGTGCTTTCAAAGCCAATAAATTTTAATGCTAAAAAGGGATGGGTGGGTCATCCATCCAAAAACCTTCCGAATCATTTGGAGAACAATAGTAGCAGTCACTGTATATACACGCACGTGATGTCTACACTTATATGTATATGTATATATATATAACACATCTATATGTATAATCACATTGATAATATATCTTTGTTTTCCTATATCCCATGGTATGCCATTTGTTGCAATACGCCCGGGGGTGGCCCAAGCCACCAACCTCACCAACCATTGAGTTTCTTGCGCTGCCTCAGGTGCCAGTACATCACGGAGATCCAAAGGGAGGCCCAGCCATGCATCAGGTGTTTTGGGAGGTAGCCCTTGTAAACCATACCATATATGTGTTTTCTTCATTGTTTATTATAGACATATTTCATATATATATATATATATGTATATGTCATATATGTATAAATGTATATATGTCATATATGTATATATGTATATATGTATATATGTCATATATGTATATATGTATATATGTATATATGTGTATATATGTATATATGTATATATGCATATATGCATATATGCATATATGTATATATGTATATATATATATATCTATATCTATATCTTTATCTACATCCATATCCATATCTATATCATCTATATCTATATCTATATCTATATCTATATCAATCTATATATATATATGTATATGTATGTATATTATGTAATATGTATATCTATATGCATATATATATATATGTTTGTGTATTTGGAACGAAAGGCATATAATTGATTGTGATTGTATATGCGTAAGGATAATATGATATGTATGTGTTTAGTATTGTTTAGTCAATGAGCTTAGACCAGCTCTCAGGGTCAATTAGCCATGAAAGAACCGTTCAAAATTCGTGGTAGTACCTGTAAAAACTTAGGTTTCCAAGACATGGAAGTTGATGCTTGCGAGAGTGGTGGGAAGATGGTTTTAATTTATTTTTAATTTTCATATTCCCAATGGAACATCCACACGACTTAGAGATTTTTGTGGGAATATTTTCCTGAAACAAACCCAAGTGAACACGACTCTCTTTGGCAATTTTTAGTGCGTACATTCAGCTGCTCTCCAACAATCTGATATGCAAGGGACGGCAGTAAGCTCCACTTACAATCCATCGATAGATGATGTTCTCATCGCAAAAGGGTCGGCTTAAAACTCATCCGCTTATAGATGAGGTTTCCATGCCCTTTATTGCCATCATCCCCCTGTTAAACAGGGGTTGGGAAATGGGAAATGCCCTAATTGAATCTAATTGAACATTACCCAACTAACCGGGGATGTGTTCTAACAGATACTTCAAAGTGATACTTCAAAATCCCCAAAAGGCAATTTTCTCTACCCCAATTCTCACCCCTGGTTATCCCTGGTCCTAGTCATGGCTCCAGGCTGCGAGCTATAAGACGGTCACCCTGAGGGAACCTGTGCAGGCAGCATGGGAGATCTTCAGGATCCAACAGATGGAGGTACGTAAACGTACCATATTTCTGGCCATATGAATTGTGGGGATATTATGGGATATTCCCTGAAAAATAGGCCTTATATATATATATGGTAGGTACCTCCAATCAATCGGTTCCTAATATGGCCATTGACAGCATGGTTGATTTTTTTCACCAGGAAACGGATGATGACCCAACAAAAACGACGAACATCTATTTTTCAGGGGCGTTGCACCAGACCAGATGTACACAATTACAACAAACGGAACTCCTGCTGCAATGCCAAAATGGTGCTTGTGTCATTTCGGTTTTGTCTCTACCTGGTGTGATGTACATATATATATATAAATTCATCATATTCTAATCCTTGTTGGACATATCCTCCAATATAGCACCCCCCTGTTGGACATTTTTGGGGTGTCCTAAGGTGTCCCATTGATCAACCATACTTCAATCAAGCCAAAACAAGTTGTCAGTGAGATTTAGCAAGCCCAAAAGGATGCCGAAAGTCGTGGAAATCCAGGATAGTTGCTGATGTTAAAACTCCCATAATTTTCAGGTGCTCAACTTTTCGACATCTCTTTGGGGGTTACCCTCTGGTAATTTAACATAGCTATTGAAAATAGCCATTTATAGTGGATTTGCCGACTAAAAATTGTGATTTTCCATGGCTATGTTAGTTACCAGAGGGTACATGTATCATTGACTGGATCTTTTTTAGTTAATATCACAACCCCACACTTTTCCTTCCAGCAGCACACGCGTGAAATCGGCCGGTTGTTCGAACACGCCAGGGGGGCTCGGAGAACACGCCGGGAAGCGCAGCGGGGGAAAATCAAACATGGCTGGAAAATGAATTGAAAATGGTGGTTCTTAGTGGGAAAATCATTGAAAAGATGGGAAAACCCACTATAAAAAGAGGTTTTAATGGGAAAATCATGGAACTCAACGATGGATTTTCGAGCAAGCCATGTTTGACTACCAGATGATACGGTATTTTCGGCCAAAATGGTGCCGAGAGAACCAGGACTCCAGGACCAGTGGTGGTTTCAGCGGCACCATGCGACTTCGCATCAGAAATAGGATGATCCCGACTTTCAGATTCTTCTATAATGCCATGCTGTTTGGTGGTTAATAGTGGTTATATGATGGTTAATGATGGTTAATGATGTCAAATGAATGTCAACCCTGGATTAATAAACCCCAAACGGTTGTTTAATTGGGAGGGTACCATTTTTTTTGTGTCAGATGAAATGACTACTGGAGAAGTACCCCCTAATGAAAATAAGCCATGGTTTAGTCTCATCCGTGGTTGACATTACATCATCCTAAGTGTGCACTGAAAGAGAAAATCAGAACTCATCACAGTGGGAGACCGGAAGACCATCAAGCTCCAGCTAGTCTTTTTCTTTTTTTTTTGCTGTTTGTATTCCGGTGATGTCCCATTTGAACTTACAAGTTGTGTTCCCACCAACTGCGCCAACAAAAAGCTGTTTGGGATGGTCCTATGATTAGTCTCATTTATCTGTTGTCACTCAACAACCAGTTTGGGATTTCGTTGGCTGAAGTTCCATTGCACTTATCTAGTTCCAATATGTGTCTTGGATGAAGCTGGTCACTCCTCATGGGATTCCAAGGTGAACCAGTGGGGTGTGTGGCTTGGAATAGAACCCCAGAATGAAAGGGATGAAATCAATATCGGGCCCCAGAACAAGTCACCCTGCTCCCAAATGAGTCATATCTCCAGCATTTGTTCTGAATTTCGCCAGTTTTCGGATCCTTTTACTCCAAAATTTCTAGATTTCCCAAAAGAATGGCCATTTGTCCCCCAATTTTACCCACCAAACCCCCAGGCGTTCCCCCCGTTTTCAATGGGCCATTTCCACAGGTCGGATCCGAAGAAAGAAGGGCGGCCGGTGACCCATGGACCGGAACCCTTTCTGAGCACGTTGCCGGGACGCCTGCGGAGATGGGTTCACCTTCCCAGAGTGTTCATTGATGGGGATGTTGGCAATGTACACTCTGGTCATTTAACAGTTCGCCATGGAAAATCACCATGCTATGAATAGGTAAACCATCTATTTCTATGGCCATCTATACCATGGCTATGTTGAATAACCAGAGGGCAATTGATCTCCCAATGATAATCATTATATAAGTTATAATTACTAGATAATCTTATATTATACAAATTATAGTTATACTATGTCATACTTCGGAATCTGATATTAAAGATAAGATGGCCATTGTAATGGGAATAATTGCACAAGGAATCCCGAATGATGGGATGATCATCGCCCATTCATCCTACGTAACTTGACCATGGCCGACAACTCCACAGCCAAATCCCACAGAGTCCACCCGATTTTTTTGTTCAACTTCGGAGGCTTTCCAGAAATCAATAGTCATCAATGCTATCTATCTCGCTACACCTTTTTGGGGGTCATTAGTCATTAGGATGCCATGCATCATATGGCATTATGGCAGTGAGAAATCCTTATTTGTTGACTCTGTGACTCGCTTCAACATGGTCATTAAGCACCAGCACAATTTTAATTCCCGTTGATCCCTGTTGTAAAGTGTGTATCCCAAGACATGATTGTTCCATCCCTCATACAGTCAGACCCCACTATGTTAAACTGTTATGAGGTATGTAGAGCCTCTAGAGCTTCGGTTTACTTACCCATTTAGCTAAGATTAGAGATGATATTTCTCTGAAAAGGATGGCAAAGTTCCACTCCCATATGTGATTACCTAGAACGCATATAGAGTTCAAACCAGCATGTTCCAAGTTGCAATCTATGTGTTTGATGGCTAAATCCAACTGTTGGATGTTAGAGTAGAATCCCAATGCTCCTCAAATGTTACTCGCTTATACATGTATATTATACCATACCCTTTGGTCATTTAACATAGCTATTGAAAATTGCCATAGAAATAGTTGAATTACCCATTAAACATGGTGATTTTCCATAGCTTTTTGTATGTTTACCAGAGGGTAGTTTCAATGGTTTCATCCCAAGACTGCAGCGCCCAGGAAGAGGACCATTCTGATGAACGCCGTGCAGACCAACAAGCTGTCGCAGACCGTGGTCCCGGGCCCCCAGAAGCAGGGCGGCAGTGGTACCCTCCAGTGGAATATCATGGGAGATACAACTGATACTACTATGGCAAACAAGCATAGCTATTGAAAATGGTGATTTGTAGTGGATTTACCCATTCAAAATGGTGATTTTCCATAATTAGTTATGTTAGTTTGCCAGAGGGTACAGTAGAGGGTACTACTATGGTAAAGTAGTATTGTAAATATCCAGCAGTATCATGTTCACCATTGGGATTTACTATGGTCAATGTCCACTAGTCACTAGTTTCGTTTATCTCATAGATACGCACCATAATGGATCATAATAGTGGGAGTATCATTCGTATGATTTTGGATATTCAGCGCAATAGAGCATCATAGACCTATGTTATCCTGTTAGGTTTTGTTGCAGTGGGACATAGACATGATCAACAAGATGCCAGTTGGGATGCGCATTCCATTGGGTATGTTCTACCCTTTGGTAAACCAACATAGCTATTGAACATGGCCCAGTCGAAATACTTGATTTTCCCTATAAACTGGCGATTTTCCATAGGTTTTGATGCCAGTACCTTGGGAAACATCCCAGAAGTAGCAGAAAAACCCTTCGGTCATGTGACCGAAGAATAAACCATGCCCAAATTTACCTATGGATATTATAAACTATCCTGTGGTAAACTAACATAACTATGGAAAATCACATTTTTTTTAATGGGAAAATCAACTATTTCTACGGCCATGTTCAATAGCAAAGGGTTGAACCAGAGGGTATCCTCTGTGGGAGCTTCACCATTGGCTTCACAACGTTAGAAATCAACTATTCAAACATATTCAACCGACGTTTCTGTAGCCAGACAGCTTGAAGATCCTGGCCAATGGATCCTAGTACTTCAAGAGATTGTGTGGATTCCTATCTCAGATTGAACATTAAATTGTCCAGAACATACCCTCTGGTAATTTAACATAGCTATTGAAAATTGCCATTTATAGTGAGTTTTCCCAATAAAAATTGTGATTTTCCATAGCTATGTTAAATTACCAGAGGGTAAAGTTTTTGTTGATCAAGTTTGCTTGCAGATGCTCACCACTTTTGGGGTTTTTAGCCAACCCAAGGTCGTCGGCTTGAATGCTAAAAGTTTGTCGTTTGAAGTGCCAGGAAAAAACTGGGAAAGCTCCCAGCCACCGGAAGCTACCCTCTGGTAAACTAACATAGCTATGGAAAATCACCATTTTTAATGGGTAAATCAACTATAAATGGCCTTTTTCAATAGCTATGTTAAATTACCAGAGGGTAAATTGTGAAAAAATCCCAATGTTTAACTTTCATATGTTTGATGCTCAAGTCGCACTTGTTGATGTTCTCCAACTTTGGCCAAATTGAATCCAGAGTTTTCCAACTTTTTGGATGGTTAAATGATGTCAACTCCATTTTTGCACAATTTTCTCTACTCTAATTCTATTAAATCCCCATATTTTTGGATTGTTATATAATATACATATACAGTATATTATTGTATATGATTTAATATACACATAAATCATGTTAAATCCATGTTTTCACACGTTTCTCTATAGCCTAATTTCTCATTGCCGCTCCAAGCCCCGGGAAACGCCACGGCCCAGGTGGGCAGCTGGCACCTTGAGGTGAAGCTTGGGGAGAATCCGGAGAAGGTGCTGAGCAGATACAAGCTGGTGCTCGTCGGGAAGCTAAGAGGGCTGCGTTGATATAAATCTGAGGGGAAAACCATAGGAAAACCATACCTATAGTTGGTTTATATACCTATAGTTAGTTTATATATGTAGTTTACCATTGGGGTTATATACATCACCCCAGTCATACTGTATCCAATAGTAAACCTCTGTTAGGGATTGTTTATCATAAACAGATGATATATGTGATACATTAATGATATATAATCGATGGTAAATACTCGGTAAATAGAATTTGGTAAATCTGATAGTAAATACTATGGCAACTGACGATATGAAAACCATGGAGATATAGTGGGTATCATGTGGCTATCATGGGGATAGATTGGGGATACCCGTGAAATTCAGAGATGTTACTCACTCTGGTTGGTGGTTTGGAACATGAATGGATTATTTTCCATTCAGCTGGGAATGTCATCATCCCAACTGATTTTCATATTTTTCAGAGGGGTAGGTATACCACCAACCAGGTTTATGTATGTGCGCAATATGTATGTATGTCTATCTATCGATCGATAGATCGATCTATCTATCTACTTGTCTATATCTATATCTACAAATATGATCAAATATATGTGTGTGTAATTACATGTAATCTGCGTGCGTGCTTTAAGTCTATTTTTGTCTTTATGTGTTTGTCAGTGCGTAAATTGACACGGTGACTGTTTTGCTTTTCGATGTGCGGGAAAGATGCGGACGAAATAATACTGACCTGCAAATGTCTCCGTGGATGGAAGCAAACGGTCCATACTTGATTGCTTTTTTGCGGGTTCATTTGCTGGGTCAATCCACTATTGTTGAAATAGATAGGGGGATATAGTCGGCAGCTACGACCATATAATTTTCACACAGTAGCTAATCTAGATAGGTTTTTTGGAATCCATTGGAATCCACCCACTGCAGTTCGCCATTTCTTCGTGTCATGTCCAGTTGGTACACCTGTTCTTGGTTGTGTAGATGTATGGTCAATTGCATGACGCCATGCCGCAGGCAGATTTATCCATGTATAAGGAAAAACACCCTATCCATGTCGAAACAGCCAAGGCAGCCAGGCAAGATCTCCTAGGAATCAGCCAGGAGCCATCGTAGATACACCACGGATCCAAGTTTAAACATCACACAAACGCCCCGAAGAAATGTTACCCACGAACCTCGCAGTTGCAGTATCCAAGTTCAACAGGGTTAACCCCAAACCCATCCCCGAAGTCCACAGTCCACAGTTAAACAGCCTTTCCAAAACCAAGAAATATGCGTCCACTCAAAAAACACACACTGGTGATAACATTTAAAAAAACAACAAATCTGAAGATCTGTCACAAGTTTTCATTTGATCCAACTTTTCAAATCGATTTCTGATCCATCACTTTGTGTCCCCCTAAAAGGGCAGTAACACCCATGGGCGCCTTGCCTGGCTGCGAGAAATGCGCTGGACAGGAAGGTGCAACGGCGGAGGACCCCTGGCTGGTGAAATAACAGGGGGTAGGGGAGAGATACCTGGCCTAGAGGACTCAAAAACAATAAAACTGGAATAAAGTAAGCATGATGGGAGTGATACCGAGTATAAACATATAAACCATATATTAATTGCCATTGATTGTGAAATAGTGAAATGAGAACCGGTTTCACATGCTTAAACAAACCTGATGACTTACATATGGAAAATGATGACCTAGCATATCCTAGCATCTATCCCTAGGGAAAAACACAATATGACATGCAAAGAGGTGTTTGTTCTTCGCAGAAAACATTAAAAAAAAAACAAATAATGTTATTTGCATCAGATAACTGTACCCAATTTTCATTGTCTGACCTTTCATAGTTATATCATCCACATCATCCCTTGAATTTTATCAAATGTTGAGGCTTCCAAGTTCCCTTAGCTAAAAATCTCTGGAGAAGCGCCCATGGAGATATGGTAACCAGCATAAAAAAAATCCACATCCCCAAGGGCCATCCCAACGATTCCCCCGTTGTTCCCCAGGGAACCCATCCCCGTAGTTCGACCAAGGATGACAAGAAGCTGAAGCGAGAGAGCACGAGCATCGCCAGCGCGGGGACCCAGCGCAAAACCGCTGTCAGATGATACGAAAACCATGGAGATATAGTGGGTATAATGTGGCTATCATGGGGATAGATTGGGGATACCCGTGAAATTCAGAGATGTTACTCACTCTGGTTGGTGGTTTGGAACACGAATGGATTATGTTCCATTCAGCTGGGAATGTCATCATCCCAACTGACTTTCATATTTTTCAGAGGGGTAGGGCTCAACCACCAACCAGTATTTCCCAGTCATCATCCATATTTTAATGGTTTTTCCACCAGATAACCATCCAGTCATCATCCATTTATAGATGGGGATAGGTCAACCACCAACCAGTCACTTTTTTGGGGTTGCTGACTGTTCCCCAGATTCACCAAACCGCCCATCCAGATGCGACCCCGATGCGACCCGACCCCGATGCGATGGGGGCGCCAGTGATGCTTGGCTTTCCTGGTGTTGGGGGAGTTTCTCCAGAACTCTAGTCGGATACCCTCTGGTAAACATACAAAAAACTATGGAAAATCACAATTTTTAATGGGTAAATCACGGTAAATCCACTATAAATGGCCATGTTCAATAGCTATGTTAAATTACCAGAGGGTATAAGTTATAGCACTTTGCAACTGAATGCAAAATCTCTGGTGCAAACTGAGATGGATCATCCACCCATCTCTCTCCATTTAAAGATATGCTATGCGTACATTATGTCCAAAAACCATCTCAAGATGTTTGGAGATTGCACTTTGCCAATTCAAATTATAGAGCTATTTAAAAACGGTGATTTACCAAGCTAATTCTGATTTTCATCGCTAAACTTGATGGTTTTTGAATTTCAACGGTCAGGATCGTGACCTTGCCGGATCTCTTTGACCGCCTCCAAGCGGTGCACCAGGCCGGTTCTTTTTAAAAAAACTGCAACCGAAAAATTGCTGATGGTTTGGAAAAGCATGATTTATTGGGAAGAATCATCATTCTAAGAAATGAGATGATTATTCCTAATTAATATAGTTCCATTTGGATTATTTATTTTCAAATGTTGGGAATACTCATCCCAAATGACGAACTCACATTTTCCAGAGGGGTAGGTATACCACCAACCAGATGGATTATTCTGTACTGCCGGGCCAGCATCGAGAAAAAAGGATCACAGCACATCTCATCTTTTTTCCGGCCTAATATTTCTTCTGGCTCGTTTTGTCGAACCGGCGGTTACGGGTGGCGCCAGGAGCACCTGCTTCAGTGCCAGAAGGTCTTGGATGAGATCAAAGTGCATGAGGAGACCGAGACCAAGGTCCGCATCGTTGCGACCACCGTGGGGTGCCACGGGGCAACCGTGGTGTTGTGAGGGAACTGTTCTGTTGTTTAATGGTTGTTGGTGGGAATTCCCATCTAGACATATTTAATCATATTTCTATATCTATGAAGTCTTGTTATATGGTGATTTGTTGCTCCAAACCTTTCTAAGAAAAACAAAAGCATGCAGCTATTTTATACTACTTTAGGTTTCCGTGTCAACACTGAGGGTGGTATTTATTTCTTTTCCTGAGGACAGGCGCGAATCAATCATCGCCAGATCAAACAGGCAAGTACCATGCTGAAACCGCCTACTTGTACCGCAAAGTTATTGGCTGGTATTTACCCCGGGTTTCAAACCTGAAGTATCAAGAAATTAGTTGTCCCAATGTGAATTTCGCTTGAAGGAGCCTCTCACCCTGAAGTTTGCATACCTTCTGATAGTTTCACCTGTCACTCTGGAAAACCCACACTTTGAAGAGTTAATCTATGCATGTGGAATTCTATGGGGATGTGTCCATTTTCCAACGTCAATCTTGTTCGTCAAAAGGTGCACACCCTCCGACAACCTCCGGCAATTTAATATATAACGCATTGGAAAGTCCATGTTTGATTTATATATGAAATCATCAAACTACACGGTCCATATATTACATATAGATCCATATAGCAAAGTGGAGGGGCCCCATCGCCAGGAACAAATTTCTCAGCAGATTTACGGAAAGCAAATCAACTCCGAACTGTGTCACCTCGAAGAGGAGTGTGGGGAAGTGGGATGAGCCATTGGAGGTGTAGGAAAGAAACACCTAAACTTTCGATGGAACAGCAGTTGTACAGTTATAAGATCATATTTCTGTTGAATAGGGTCTATTTATGGATCTATATTTGGGGTTCCATGTTGATTGTAGGGGGGTATATTATTTGGTTTTTATCCCGCGTGGCCAATTGGATCGAGCTAGATTGCCTTGATTCTGTTGCTTTCTACGCTTCTCACTATCACCTGGTTGGCTTGTTGTGTTGTTTCCTGGTGTTTCCCCACGTAACCTTTCTGCTTCAGATCCCAGATGGTCTTCCTAGGGTTCAGTGAGCCATGAGGAGATGCAAAAACGCTTAGCTTGGGGCAGTGCGTTGATGGCTTCCATCCGTGCGCCCCCGTGACCCGACAACATCGGCCACGAGAGGGGACTTGGGATGGCTACCCTCTGGTGTTAAAAAAACATTGGAAAAACAATCTATTTGGAGATCATTCCGAATCATTCCCAGTAATTTCCCATGAAACCCATGGATTTCCATTGCTGAGTTTACTGATGGGTGACGCACTGTCTCCCAAGGTCCCTGGCGTCTGATGAAGAGCGGCCTGGCGGGTAAGACATGACCCATGGGGAGTGGGGGATTTGCCGGCAGGGTGATCTGATGGCGATGGAGAGAGAGATCCAGAAAAAGTGGCTGGATTTGGCCGAATTCATTTTTGTTGTTGATTTGGGATTTTATCCAGAGACAAGAGGGTGTAAGTGATGTAAATTGCATGATGTAAGCACAGACAATCTATGGAGTCAACCAACAAAAAGGTTGGATTTCATGATAGATGATGTCACCACAACTTTATAATTAATCTAACCAACATTGAAACAATTAGGACAGAGACAATATAGGCCATGCGATGAAGGAATAAAAACAATATCCCACTGATCAGGCTCAGAACTGCGGCCTTTCCTTTCCAAAAGATAAGCAGGAAAGCAAGGTCTCAAAACTTCATCGCGCAAGGTCCCAAATTCCACCAGTTTCAGCTGCAAATTTGAAGTTTATTGAAGTTTATTTGGTTCGCCCTCAGCCAAGCCGCAAGCTCTCATTTCCAAGGCGTAGAACACAAGCATTCAAGGCTCGTGATGGGCGGCGCCGTCAGTCTCGTTTCATGTCTTAATGGGGTTAAAACAATACCATTTTTACCACCTATGACTGGGAATGGTAACCATAGCACCTATAAAAATGCTGATGACTGGGGGATGGTAAACATAATTAACATAATGTTGTTTTACCCACTTTATCAGGCGATCTTTATGATTCTCCTTTCGTTTCATCTCTATCCATATATAGCTATATTTAATTGCCATTCAATGGCTATGCAACGAAACAACGGAGATACTCACTGATATTCCATTAGTGACATGTGGTGATTTATTTTCTGCTAATCTTCTACTCATTTCCCAGCTCACTGCCGAAAAGTCGTGCTGCAATGGATGAGTTTTTTGGGTATCCCCAAATCGTGAACTCCCCGAAATGTCACAACTTTTCAGGTTGGTGAATCATAATCCACAATTTGTCATATACAGTAATTATTGATGACTGGTTGGTGATTTAGAACATTTTTTCCCATATATTGGGAATAATCATACCAACTGACTAATATTTTCAGAGGGGTTGAAACCACCAACCAGACAATTTGTCATATATAGTATTGATGAATATTGCTATCGATCCTGATGCGAGATAGATATGATTGAAAAATCAACTGATCCAACTTATCATCGCATGATCGTGATCATCCTGTTTATCCCATTCCATTGCTATCGGCCTGTTGTTCAATAGCCATTCAACAGCCATTAAAATAGCAATAAAGCCATCAAATCGCCATCGAAACGGTTATTCAACAGCCATATCAAAGCCACCAGCGTCAGGAGCCCCGCACCAGCGGCACCAAAGGCAGTTCCAGCAAGGACAGCTCTCCGTATTCCCCGCCGGCGATTTCCGTGGCGATCCACGAGCCACGACACACCAAAAGTGCCATGGCTAGGGGGATCCAAATGGATGCAACCATGATTTATAGGGTATATGCATAGTATATATATATATATAGTACATATATATATAATATAATATAATATAATATATATATATATGTATACACACACATATATATATATATATGATGTAAATCAATGTAAATCAACGTAACTCATTGGTTGATGATCAGTTCAGTGGCTGTATAATACTAAACAATACTAAATATCATGGGGGATTATCACCATCCATGAGCTGGGAATTTTGTCCTTAATCAAGCAGGAGTAAATGGAGTTCAAAGGATTTGGACCACTGCTCAGTTGAACATGACACATATACATGTGGAAGCTGTCAGCAAATTAACATGAAGATGCGTTGTTGATTTCAAATTCATAGTTTGGTTGTTTGTTCCGGGAATGATGCTGCGACAAAAAAAAGATATGGATGTATCATATTCCACCCCAGAATCATTGTTTTGCAAGGTTCTAGGTTTTGAACCCCCATGCCTAAGAATTAAATCATGTTGAATTCTCATTTGGTTGATCCATGTTTCATGATTGAATTCCCGAAGTGTTCAACCATGATGAGGGGATTTTTCAATCTCAAAGTGTTTATAGATTAATTATATATATAATTCTATATATATACAGATGTTTATATAGCATCCATATTTCTGATATTTTGTTTGATATTCTATGATCATCCCATGTCTTTATATGAAATCTCCATGGTTTGATGATCAACCCCGAAACGAACGGTTCGGAACCCGGCGCCGTTCCGAAGCGAGGTGGAATCAGTCCGGAGGAGAGCCCCATGCGACACGCCAAGGTGGGTGATTTGATGTCATTGGTGTCAGTATTGTTTGACCAACAGTTGGTTTATGGTATACATATCCAATATATTACTAGTTGGTATAATAGATGTATACTGTATGTATACTGTATACATTAGCCTCTGGTAAATTAAGATGTTGACCCTGATTTTATCACCAATTTTTAATGGAAACTAGTCTTCCAACCCCCGATGACTGCCAGGGTCTATGTTAATTTACCAGAGGGTATACTGGGAATGTGGTTAAAACAATGCCACAAACCATTCCCAAATTATCCCAAATTCACAATCTTTATGGGTGGTTTTTATGCCATCAACAACGGGATGGTTTTAACCACATTGGTAGAAACATGTTGTATCAAATTGTTTGTTAACAGGTTTCCATTACCATAAGATGTAGTTACTAATAAACTACTACAGGATTGTTCCATTGACATATATATATATAGGTACACAGTTACACATCAACATGGACCCTGAAAATCACCCATTTTCAGCGGAAACAAATCTGACCATCCCCATTTGGCGGCTTGTCTATTTCACTGGAGGGAAACCATTGACACATGTTCATTTTCACTGTAGGAAACATATGACTATAGTAGTTATCTTTATTGTGACTATTCAATGACTATTCACTATTCACAAACTATTTACTATTGCCCCTAGTGAGCTTGTAGCCGAGATGATGATTTCATCTTATTTATAGAATCAACATTAGTAAGCATCCAATAGTTCTAGACGTATATTAATCGATGCATCATATCATCATCATATACGGAAATCATGTGTATAGAAACCATACATATATTGCAGATATAGCATTGTATAATATACTGTAGCTATATATACTTAGTTCATCTTAGTTCATCTTAGTTCATCTTAGTTCAACAGTACATGTCTCGCTTCACATGCTTCACCAGGTGACAGCTCGGAAGCGGAACGCGACCTTCCAACGGCCCACAGCCTTGGCCTTTTTTATGAAGCGACCGGTGGTGCGCTGGACGCTGCTTGGTGGCGGACCTGGACGGACCTGGACCACTGGATTCCGTAGCTCAGAATACACACTGTGAATGGTGGAATGGTGGAATAACCCCCAGGCAGATGGTAAATTCAGAGTTTTTGAAAGTTTTGATTCCCATTTGTTGAGGAAATTTGAGGTTCAACTTGGTTTCAAACTTTAGATTCTGAGCGTCTGAGCCATTTTTATGTCTCCCAAACGGTTGATGACAGCCCTTTGATTCACCAAGTGGTTGAGATAGCCAGTCTAGTTGGCAAGATAGCCAACATTCCGAAAGGCGAATTGTGTTCCAATTTTGCTGGTAACTTCTACAATGTCCTATGATAATTATGCATAAACATGGGGGGTACCTCATTATGGGCTCAATATGGCTCAACTCTGATAGAAAATCTGGAAAGAGCCCCACTATTCACTATTCGCCTGCCATGTTTCCAAGGCTGTATGGCTGCCTGGCTGTGGCCCTCTTTGGGCCAAGCTGTGCAACGCTGCTGAACCTACCCGACGAACCCACTGCAGCTGGACTTGACGATCTCCAGTTCAGTTTTCTTTGAAACAGGATAAGCAGGGGACAGGATGCAAGGTATACAATGGCACATATGATTAAATCATCATTCGCATAGTAGATAAGTCATATTATACCATTATATACCATTGTATACCCAAACAAATGGGAAATACCAAATGGTGTCTAAATTTACAATATTTCACCATTTGGTATTTCCCATGTGTATTTCGCATTTGATCTGACATATTGTTATTTCACATCCTAGTTTTTTCAACTGGTTATTTTACCACTGTTCCCATCATTGATATATCATGGTCTTTGGAACCCCCAACAGATTGGGAAGCTCAGGTTGTGATCCTAGATGTGGTGATGAGTCTCTTGGTAAAAAAGCCGGGCTTGGCACTCCAAAACTGCCAAGAGTTTCACCCATAGCTTGGCCGTGAAGCCTTCATTTAAGCCATGCAAAATAAGGATTTAAGCCATGAAAAGTAGGGATACAAGCGGCAAAAATGAAGATATGATTAAATCATATGAAATCAAACTAGTTATGGATACTTTCAGTCAGAACTGGGGTGCCAATGGGCCCGCACAAAGTATCAGTGTTTCTAGTCTCGAATCCATGTTGGTGCTGATATTTCTGGTACATGCCACGACAAACGACTGGAACAAAGACCTGGGGAATTGATGGGAATTGAATCCCAGAACCCATAGGATCCATGGTGCTGCTATATATGGTACCCTCTGGTAATTTAACATAGCTATTGAAAATTGCCATTTATAGTGGATTTTCCCATGAAAAATTGTGATTTTCCATAGCTATGTTAATTTACCAGAGGGTAACATGGATCCCATCAATATACCCCCTTTATGTTAGCATACCCTCTGGTAAACTAACATAGCTATTGAAAATGGCCATTTATAGTGGATTTTCCCATTAAAAATTGTGATTTTCAATAGCTATGTTAGTTTACCAGAGGGTATATACCAGCACCATGGATCCGTCATGCGGAAGTGGATGATGGGAAAATTGAACACCGGAAAGCCCGAAAGACGTTGATGAAACATGCTTCGGTTTCCCGTAGATGTCCCGGGCCCCATTGCTTGTGATTTGACGTTTCATGCATCCCAGCTTGTCGCCCAGCGAAGAGGCCCACCTGGGGATGACTTAAAGCCATAACATATTTTCGGGATGAACATCCATTTACAGTAGCCTCCTGTAAAAAGACATATTAGGGGATGGGTCAAAACATGTCAAAACCCTGGTACCGTGCCGTGAACCCCAAAATAGCTGGGATTTATGGATGTTCATCCCACTAAAAATGTATCTATAGGTATTGACCCATCCCCATATAGATGTGGAGTTTTTTGCCGCTTTAATAATTCAGTATATCATGGACACCCTTCGGTGTCCCAGTTTCCCCATGGCTTTTTCCCACATGGCTTGTTGTCTGCCTTTCCCCAGTAGATTCAGTAGATCCCAGCCCCAGGTTTTATCGCCGTTGCCTTCGCCTTGGAAATGTTGGCCCTGTTGTTAGTCGACGAACTTTACAGCACCTGGGCGGCCGCCGTTTTCACATGTCGATTTTTTTGAATTGCTGGCTGTAGATGATTCGACAGGTAAAATTGGAGGAAATTATGAACTTGATCTACATTTGTCTATTCTAAATTTCTATCACTGCTTTTGAGATCTTTTGAATTTTGAATTGAAACTTTGTTTTTTTAGTTGCACTTGATCAGTCGATGAACTTCACAGCGCATGAACTCTGAACATTCGGTTTGATGAATGTCGGAACTGTTGGGGGGATTCTCATATATTTTCATAGGTGATATGTCGGGAACCTAGTGTTTTCTGAGTTAAGCCTTTTTTGTTGCTGCAAATGGGCAATATGTCATAACCAGTTCCAGTTGATTATCCTATGATATTCCATATGATACTCAGTTGCATTGTTTGGCCCCATCCACTCTGCCGTCATTGTGTTTTGTGCCCTCCAAGCATGATGTTTGATAGCCCGACTCGGTTTTTCTGAGGATATTCGTTCTTCTTCCTGCTGCTTGGCTAAACACCACAAAACACCAAAAAACAAAGAGCACCAGGATGCTAAGAGCGGGAAAATTGCTACGATGGGACTGCAAATTTGCAAACTTACAAACACCATGTTGATCCATGGTGTATAAGATTTAATAAGTCTATTTAGAAACGCATGAACTTTCCGAACTCTCCAAACGTTGTCAAGTTACAGTCGTTGTTCTCCTCATTTTCGCAAAGCCAGGATGGATTTGTTGGGGACTCTGTCGATGGCCTTTGAGATCTCGTTTTTATTGGGAGGATACCTTAATTCCAATACCGCACCTTGGCTGCCCGTGGCCGGTTTGGATGGAACACGGATGGGTTGACGACTGAGAACTGACCATTCTGAGGCAAGGCTGTTTGGGACACTGAATGTAGGTTGTGCCCTCTGTACAACCTCAAGATGTAAGTCCTATTTGCCCAGAAAACAAAGAAGAATCAATCCATTTGACAGGAGTCTACAGTAGGGTGAATCTATAGATTTCGGCCAATTACTTCCCCAAATTTTCTGGATCATTGCCTCGAGGGTGTCTTTTAAATTTTCAAGATCGCTGCTACTGTAGATTCTGATTTTGGAAACTGGCGAAATACCTGGCCAAAATTGAGATCTTCTCCATATTTCCCATGACTTTCGTGCGAATACATAGGGAATGGTGGAAGGATCCCACAAGAATTGGAACATATTGGAACAATTCCATCATACACCAAGCCCTACTTGGATGTGCATCCCGCTTAGGATCCGTGGTTTATAATCATTAAATATCATTAATCAATCCATCTATAAGCGATATTTAATGGGTGATTAATGATTAACCAATATTTACTGGTCGATAAATATCATTAATCATTTCACCCCAGTGGGTGATCTTCCTTCCATAAACTGGGGCTATGCTTCGGGAAAAAAAAACAAAAAGCCTCAGGTGGTGCTACGCACGGCGCGCACGGCGAAGCTGGGAGCGCGCATCGGGCGTCTCATCAAACTGGTGAAATGCGTCAGTGCCCGGAGCTGCAGATTGGGGATACCCAGGGGGATGGAGAGGTGAAGGATTATGGTTGCTTATCATGTAATGGTGAAGATAAATGGATATAATGGCAATGGATATATATATATATATACAATATAAGAAACAATTAGCTATAGTGATAATGACCAATGAATTATACAAACATAATGTTTTATATGTGTCCATTATTCTCCATGCAATTTGCATTTCCTACGAACAAAAATCCAGTATGCTTGCGTTTTTTTCGCATGCTCAGTGCCAGGCGGTTCCATGCGGTTCCAAGATGTTCCAAGTGATGGCAAAAGCTTCCCAATCAACGATTGAGATGGTATTTTGTGGATTTAAAACCCTAAAACATGTCTGGTGTGTATGGGTTAATGATGGTTAATGATGGGTTAATCATGGTTAATAATCACTGGTTGGTGGTTTGGATTTTGTTTTTATTTTTCCATTCAGTTTGGAATGTCATCATCCCAACTGATTTATTTATATTTTTCAGAGGAGTATGTATTTATAGCACCAACCAGATGGAGATTTGACCAGCCCACGGTGGGGATGTACAAATGGTCGGCCTGTTGGAAGCGCCATAAAAAAGTGATCCCCGGCCTGGTAAGGACTAACAGTTTGCTATTGAACATGGTGATTTATAGTTGATTTTTTCATTGAACATGGTGATGTTCCATAGTGATGTTAGTTTACCAGAGGCTACTTTTTCGCATGAACGATGCCATTTTGGGATATACGGGTATATACCTCTGGGCAAAACAAGTCCACAGAATGTCGTAAGCCGGGCACCGAACCGTGCCCCCCCCAAAAAAAACACCTTTGGAGATGAATTTATCGGGGTGAAACCACCAATCAGGGGCAGCTGATCTCTCCAACATATTTTGTAACCTTGGTTTGGTGCGACAACCACCAACTGTTTCCACGATGATGAAGGGTTCCAGAGCCTTTTTATTGCCTCATAGAATAGGAAAGTGGCACCCAGCGGACCCTGGAAGTCGGAATCGCTCCATTGATGCACCACTACCTGGATAGGTATGTTCTACAGATCAACTGCCAAGAAGACCACGCAAATCGAAGCCAAAGTGCTCGCAAGTACCTCGGTCAAGTGGGGGGCGCAACAGTGCATGGCACTGGTGCATGGCCACATTCCTCGTTTTCCAAATGATAGGTATGACGATTGTAATGGGCATCTCAATGAAGATCTTCCGTGCACTTGACCAATGGCTTTTGTTGTGCTTCGCCTTGGGATGTTGTTTCAAAACTCATGGCACCGTTGAGAGGCAAGCTGGTTGTTCTTTTATCTACCCGTGTCTCAGTGATTGTGATCGTGATGGTCATGGCACCTTGGCCTTGTGGTGGATTGCGCTTCCAACGAGGATAGGTTGCATTTAGGGTATGAAACTGGACCCAACGGCTAGGTCAAGACAGAAAAAAACAATTGGAGATCATGTTTTTCCGCATGGATATCTTAAATGAATTATCACCACTCTCAAGAAGAAAGATGAACAAGAAACAAGTCAGCTTGGAAGTTTGCTTGAGTTTGGAGGTTTCAGGATGTGCTATGGGTAACAATGCGCTTGACTTTCAGCAGGACATGACATTCCCCCATTATTTAATGATACTCATTTTTTCCTGGCGTGCCAAGACAGTCAAACCAATCTTTACATATTTTTACTAGCATTCTTACCTACAATAGTCGCACGAGTTTTGCAACTGAAATACCAACATTTAAGTGCACTTCTCATTAGTTGACGCGATGTATGGATATATATACTATAGATGTATATATGCTATAAATATTATGCATATATCAACATGTATAATTTCTAGACTCTAGACACTCATATCTATCATCTCATCGCAACAGCCTATGTTTTTGCCTCTGCACCTTTATGTCCCGACCCCGAGGTGATTCCTTTGAGCAGTTTGCCGTTGTTTCCCACGGAAGACATGTCCTTGAGCTTATGGCCCCAGCAACTGGAGCAGAGCTATTTGGAAGATCAGTGCCTTGGTACAACCAAAGTGAACAGCTGGGGGAAAGCTACCATAAAGCTACCATGACTGAGTGGGGGATGGTACACATATAGAATACCTATATGGAAAATACTCAAAAGATATCAGATGGATCAATCAGTATAGGGGATACCAATGGATACCAGCTATCAGGTATCTATCAGCTATTTCGATGTTCATCAGAGTGGTGAATGGCCATAGTCTTGCGTGTTTGTTTGTTCCTCCTATATTCCTCTGTTAGAATTAGAGAAGTGCTGCAATTACCCAAGTAAACGCTAACTTCTTTTTTGGCACACGTTATTCTGAAGGGTGAAAGGGTGCCTCTCTTTGTTTATTTGGGTGACTTGCAGTTGGGGGTTGCAGCTGCGGGGCCATGACATTGGATCCCTTGTATCTCACAGAACTGAGAGGACTGGGAGGCCTACAACTCACCCAAGCTTGGTTGGATAGCCTCTGGTAAACGTTTACATAACTATGGAAAATCACCATGTTATAGCTGGGTAAATCAACTATTTCTATGGCCATTTTCAATAGTTTTTTGTATGTTTACCGGTTGGATAGCGAAAATTGCCCATTTATAGATGGTTTTACCTATTTAAAAAATGTGATTTTCTGTAGCTATGTTAAATCACCGGAGGGTAGCTTTGAGGGTTTGGTGGGGCTGACATCGGAGATCGTGGTGCCAAGGACCAATCAGAGCAGCGCTCTTCAAAGTTCCATCCTGCAGATGGTGGAGCGGCTTGGCAGGGCATCCCCAAACAGTTCCATCAGCCGTAGAACACATTAGAAAGCCATAGTAGGCACCAGTCCAACTATTTTGATTATGTAAATCAGTCTAGTTAGAACATCATTATTAAGATAATGTAAACATTAGAATAATTTTATAAATCAGTCTAATTTTGGGTACCAGTCAATTCCCAGCAGCTTGGCAGCAGGTTCTATCAGAGCAGCAACTACCAGCCCTACCAGCTCCGGGGGTTTGGCTCCCTGGTGTCCTTGCGCGATCCACCGCTGCAGGCGAGAAATAGCCTGGAAACTCGGTGGAGTTGGGGTAGTGGAGACCTCCAAAATGGGGGTAATTGACGTAGCCAATACCCTTTGGTAAACTAACATAACTATGGAACATCAGCATTTCTATTAGGTAAATGAACCATAAGTGGCCATTTTCAACAGCCATGTCAGTTTACCAGAGGGTACTGGGGCTGCTGGTGAATCTCCCAGAATTGGTGGAATATTCACATGGTTCATATTTGGAAGAAACACCCAGCTTTCCAGTAAAGATTCCCGGCACCATTTCAGAGGAAACAGGAGAAAACAGGAACAGCAGATGACATTAATCAAAAGTTCGTTGTGTCATTATTTCATATTATTTCATTACCATTTTTTGCTACTTGATGCTAGTTTGTTGTGCCAATGTTTGATGGACAGGCATGACATCCCTCCAAGGAAGCTTCGGTGGAAACATGTTTGGTGCAGAGAGCACCTTGGTCGCCGGAGGGGAGCCACTTGTAGATCAACCTGAGATCAAATCTGTTGGAAAAATGCGGAACCACCATAGATTTTTTCGGAGTACTTAGGCCATACCCTTTGGTGAACGTTTACATAACTATGGAACATCGCCATGTTTAATGGGTAAATCAACTATTTCTATGGCCATTTTCCATGGCTTTCCATGGCTTTTTGTATGTTTACCAGAGGGTACTTAGGCCCTCAAAACACTGAAAGTTGGTAAAAGTTCTAACATTTTCCAAGGCCTCCTGTGATGCAGCGGTGCTCTTTGACTTCACCGGTCCGGCGCAGTTAGATGCATTGGCACCTGGGCATCTGAGACCCTAGTTGCTATGAAGCTACCATGTGGTGATGATAGTTACTAGCCACTGAAAGTGATATTAGGGACGGTTTAGTATTGGCAAAAACCACAATGTTCTGGACCCTCCAAGTGCCTAGAAAAAATGTAAGAAACATCAACTATTTTAGGACTCTTAGGCCTGGGTAATCATATCTGCAACCAGGCCATTGACATTGCCGCAGATCCTTAAAAATTGCAGGAAATATCTGCGATGAGCCCTGGAATGGAGGGATGGTCCGGTGCTATGGGACATCATGGGACTCTCCTTGAAGATGTCGACTCATCATGAAGGTTGGCGCCAATGGCATAGCCGCATAGCCACTGGCGTGGAAAGTGAAGCCATTGGTGAAGCATACAGAAATTCACCAATGGTAATTTAACATAGCTATTGAAAATGGCCATTTACAGTGAGTTTTCCCATTAACAATGGTGATTTTCCATAGTTTTTTGTATGTTTACCAAGCGATTTCCGGCCTGCAGGTAGATGTGTGCACCATTGCTTTCATCATCGGCTTGATGGTCGCGTGGCCTTGGAGGGTTCAACATTGACTCCAGTCCCTGCCATATCCCTGCCAAGTTGATCTCACGTTCCCTGTTTCTATGGGATTTTCATGGATTTTCTAGGCATTTCATACCTTCTATTTTGTCAGGGCGGGGTTCATAGCTTTCTATGGATTTCTATGCTGTTTTCTGATGTTTTCTGGGCATTTTTCATGGATTTCCCCCTGCATGTCCTCCATGTTTGCTTTGAAACTACCAGCAGCTGATCTCAGCCGAGGCGCTAACAAGCTGCGATCTACAGCAGGTGGTGGATGCCAATTTGGTGCAACCGTTGGAGGCGCCAAAGGGAGTTAGCCTTCCGGTCACGTTTCACCATGAAACGTGGAGGTTTTACCATGAGAAAGTGGGATTCAATCTGGTGATTTTTGCCGGCAATGCATCGTAGTCTTTTCTTGAATGTTGCCCAAGAATATACAGAAAAGAGGGATAAGTACCTCAAAGTTTCAGACCGTCATCTTCCTAAGTTGCATCAACTTGCGGTAGCTGAAGAGCAGTTTTTGGGATGCGGCCCCCAGCCGCTTCCATCGTCATGTCTCATATGATTGGGACGCATTTGGACAACCATCCAAATAGTAAAAGTTTGACAGCAAACCGATTGTGACAATGGTGATTCCAGATCCCCTAACTGAATCTAACTGAGGCTGTAAAGAATATATATCATATTATATCCTCGTTTTCAATCCGCGTTGCAATCGTGGCTATTCGTGGCTCAGGTCATGCTGCAGCACGTCCGGGAGAATGCCGCAGGCGTTTTTGAACGCTTGTCGAAGCAAAGTCAGGCACTGATGTCGCGGGCGGAAACACCATGGGAAATCCATAGGAAAAGAGGGACACATCCGGATTCTCAACCTTGGTGAAAACCCATGGTAGTGTCTTACGTTCCGTGATGTTCCATTGTATATAATTGTATATATATATATAACTATTTTAACTTCATGACAATTGATTGGACCCATATTGGACTTCCGATGGATCCATCAGGCCGCGGATTTGGATTCGGAGATTCATAGCGAGGAAGACACCTCCGAAATCGAGCTGATTCAGGCAGGATTTAGGATGGTGCCGTCGAAAAAAACGTTTTGGTCCATTGAATTCAAGTCAAACACAGGAATCAATATGACATCATCATATATTACCTTCTGGTAAATTAACATAGACCCTGCCAGATAGATCAGAAAGGGGTGGAAGACTAGTTTCCACTATAAATTGGTCATGTGCAGGGTCTATGTTAATTTACCAGAGGGTTATATGTGACATCCATAGAGCAAAACCATAGATATCCATGGATATCCACATAGGTATCCATATCCACCATTGACATCCATATAGATATCCATAGAACAAAACCATGTATATATATATATATACGTGTATATATATATATATATACCCATAGGATTATCCATATCATATGGTCATATATGGTCCATATGAATAGATGTTCATCTATAAAATTCATGGAGATCAATAGATTCTCAGATGGTTCCCCCATTCGTCCCGCCGCCCAGCGCATCCTGGAGAAGTTGGCTCGCCTGGCCACCCTGGCGGAGGTGCCGATGAAGGCCGTGACGGAGAACGAGTTGGAGATCCTCGGTGCGGATGGGGGGTTTGGGATGGGGCCTGGTCGGGTGAAGGCTTGAAACTGGGCTTTGATGGGGTTGAAGCCATAAGTTCAAGCCACGAAGAGTAGGTAGATAGATAGATAGATAGATAGATAGATACATTGATACATACATTGATACATACTTATATATTTATTTTGATGGTGATTTTGATTGATTAATATTTGAATTGATTGATGTGAAGTAAGCTGGTGGGTCTATAATCTATAATAACTAACTTGGGGGTTATGATTATGATCGATATTTCAAATTACTTAATGTGGAAGCACCTTGTGTAGTTGGTACCTAGCTCCCTGAACATGTTGTCCACGCTAATGATTTCTTGATGTGAAACTTTCGAGATTCTCTTTAGAGTCAGAGACCCTCACCTACCCCAAAATACGTAAGACATTATAATTATAGTCTATAGTTATGCATGCAAAGGCATATGGAAAGCTCACCCCAGTTGCTATGTTTCTTGATTTTTTGGAGTCCAATTTTGTGCCTTTTGATCGCGAAGCTTCATTAAGTCACCCATGTCCGTCATGGTTCCAAGCAAGGTTCATCAAATTCAAGCCTGTCAACGTCAACCATTTAGGGATAGCCCACAGAGGGGTACATCCCCCTGATCATAGCTGCTCATTGCTGCAACCACATGCACCCCAGGAACATGAACGCTGAGAGAAAAGCAGCACCTGGGCATTGGCTGTAAAGGGTCCTTGGAAGTTGGGTGGCGAAGAGATATATGGAGATTTATTATCACCAAAGATGGGTAGAAAACCATAGAAAACCTAAGCATACTGGGGATGTCATGAGGATACAATGGGATATACATGGATATACATCTGACATACTGTGGATGGGCCAGCGAAATTCTGCACCACCTTGAAGGGTTGAAACCCTATAAATAATGGGATGTCTGCCATCTATCAACTGGTGCAGGATTTCTACCATCCACAGTATGTATATACATAATATAGGGATTATGTTTCATCAGTTGATTTGGGGGTATCCCATTTGCACAGAAGAAATGGAGCACCCAGATATTTTGCTTCATTTAATAATGATTCGCTACTTTACCTTCACTGCGCACCCTTCCTGCATTGGCGCCATGTTGGGAAGACATTTTGGTACTGTAAATTGATATATTTTTTGGTTGGGAAAAAGTTAGAGGACACCCCAAACTAATTACATCTTACCATGCGAAAAATCCCACGGTTTCCTGCACCATTTCCCCTCAAAGTCCATCCATTTTTCATCAGAAACAGGCCATGTCTCAACCCCCCCTAAGTTGGATCATTGCGTGTACCATAAAAATCGGGGATATGTGGTGCCCCCAGCCGTGGATTTGAGGTGTTGCTGGACATGCTCAACGTGCAAGTCCTGGCAGCTCCAGTGGCCGGTTTCGGGACCAAACGCTCCATGCAGATGGACTTTGAGGAGCGGACGTCGGTGTCATCATTTTTGTGGCTGACAAATGCCTCTAGAAATGGTCTCAGAGATGCAGGATGATGCAGCTTTCTAGCTAGAAAAAATCCATCAATAAATGAGGGTTGATGTCTGCTTATGGGAGGGAATATCTAAAGGTTAGCATACGGTAATTAAAATGGATACATAAGACAACTGAATGGATGATGGAAATATGGAAACATTGAACAGATATGTTTAAATAATGAAAACATATCCCTGAATGATGGATCCACCAAACCAGGCTTTCTCCTAAGGGTTCGCATGGAAAACCAGTATGGAAAACCAACAACCGATGGAAATGGTTCGTCATAGTTATGTAATATATAATCATAGGTTTGTTCATTATTTGTTCCATTAGCTGCATTCAAATGTTCATGAATTTTCATTGTCTAATCCGCATTTTCAGGCACACACATTGTTGCATGATGGATAATGGGCCCCTCAGATGTGCAAACGAGCATACAAGTTACAAAGCTACACATTTGAGGATTGAAACTACATTGATGCATTATTCATGGCTGATGATGATCCTTTGATTTGCAATGAACTTGGCAGCCAAGCTCATGCCATACAAGTCCAGAGCTTATTTGTGTTTGGATATGTTTGGTATAAATTATAAATATGAGTCTTGTGTTTTGAACACCCAAGTTGGCATGGAATATGCAGACAAATCTCAAAACATGGGATGTCCAGCAGCCATTTTTTGATTTTGATTTTGACAGTGATCGTCCAGCTCATTCAATCATCAAGATGAGTTGTACTGGCTGGTGGCCGGTGAATTCCAACCTAATTAAGGCAACGTAAGTTCTTGTGCGACGAGCTTATATGCTTTGGGTTGTGAAGCAGCCGATCGCTACTTTACCCGATCTACCAACGGTGGTCACAGGACATCCTGTGAAAAATTGGCCAGTCAGAACCCCTTTTTTCGGTTCCCGGAATGGCAGGTTGAATGGACTCAGAAGTGGGACCTGAACTTGCTGAATGCCTCGCAAACTGAGACTCTTGGCTCTGTTAAAAAAAAACATGGTGTAGAGGCGGAAAGGGTCAGTGCCTGCCGGATGGTACTGTTGGTGTCAGTATTGTTTGACCAACAGTTGGTTAATGGTATTACATTACTAATATTACTAGTTGGTATACATCTGTATACTGTATACATTACCCTCTGGTAAATTAACATAGACCCTGGCAGATAGGGGTTGGAAGACTAGTTTCCATTGAAAATTTGCTATTTTCAGGGTCTATGTTTATTTACCAGAGGGTACCTTTTTAAACCCACTTAAGTCATGTTTCCTCTGGGTAAAGCATCAGGATGCAGGACTATGTGACCTACATGTTCTTCAGATCTCAGTTCGGCGTGGCGTACCACTTCGTGGAGGAGTCGGTTTTCCAGCAGTTCGCACACAATGTCGAGGCCAACTATAAGGACCTGCGGTTACGGTGGTTGAAGGCATGGAAGGTCCATGAGTTTCAGGGAAAAGATCCACGGGAAGACCGGTGAAATCGACAGAGATGGGAAACAAACAGGAAAAGATGCGAAATCCACAGGAAAAGAGAGGAAAAGAACATCCATGGGAAAACTTGGGGATTTCATCAGCAAACTAGGGATTTCTCCAAGTTTTTTCCCCACTGCTGATCCAAGCTCGTGGTGTTCAGCCATGCTTTGTTTTCCCATGGGGATGGATGGTGATTCCCAAGTTCACGGGGGTTGATTATACCCTCAAAGGGAATCCGAAATGATGGTGGGATGACCATATGCCAGATAGCAAGTTTGTACCATGGCACCTATGCATTGAAGGAATCCTTCAGTGGCGACTTGAGGATGCCTAATATGTTGGGCATGGCAGGCCATAGCTTTCCCAGCGGGGTATCCCTTAAAACATCATCGGGCATCAATCCCCCAAATCAAATGGATGCTGTGCCATGTCATACCATTCATTATCGATATGTCTACCATAGCTCCAAATTTATGTTCAAGTTATAAACCAACACAGCTCATCAAAATTTGGCACCAGGTTGTGCCCGTGTTGTGCCCATATATATATATATATATATATATATATATATTTATTTACATGTACATAATATTACATAATATTATATAATCATATGTATACATATAATATGACATAATATCATATAATATCATATAATATCATATAATCACAAACATATATATATATATACACATATGATATGACATAATATTATATAATCATATATATATAATCATATGCATATATATGTATATAATCATATATATATATATAATCATATAAATATATATATATATATATATATATGTGTGTGTTTAGATATATGTATATGTCTATATATATGAGCAACCGTAAAAACCCCGGCAATACTAAATATCTATTCGACGGACATTGGCTTATGGAAATTGATGGAAATTGTTAAAAACACGAGGTAAGCGATGGGACCTTCCCAAATTAGCGATACCCAAATATCACATATTATTCATAATTCATCCCATATATATATATATATAAATGCAGCAGTTTCCTGCAAGCGATACCCCGCAAGTTTACCATATATCATTATTGTACAAACGTGTGGTGAGCGATGGGACCTTCCCAAATTTGTGGATGTCCTTTCCGTGAACCTAGGGTTTTCACAATCGCTCATATGTGTTTATATATATATATATGTATATAACCATATGTATATAATCATATGTATATATATATATATATATTTATATATACATAGATTTGCCATAGCCAGCAGAAAACACTATAGGACGTGCCATACCATTGTTTCCCTCACGCCGTGGACGTGTTATTCACCGTTTTTCGGCTTCTGCAGCTGACGCACGCTGGTCACTTGGAGGAATCCCAAGAATCCGAGGTGAGGAATTGATGCGCCATGGATGGTAAGAGAAAAACAAACGGCACAACAAAAATTATAAAAATGACCATTTGTAATGGGTAAATCCACTACAAATGGCCACTTTCAATAGCAGTTAAAAATATTGGATGATAAGAATAAGTGGATTTATGTTTTTTGTGGATCAGAAATAGTATGACAAGAATGTATGATGAGTGGATTTATTCTAACATAGTGTATTTGTGATGTTGGTGGATTCTATTTTTTCTAATACATTATGATCTTTTTTTCCCCACCTGCCAGGTGAGGATTGTTAGATTTTATCAGAGCTGTTCTCCTCCTCCGCCTCCTCCTTCTCCATCTCCTCCGCCTCCTCCTCCTCGCAGTCCAGATCCCAACCGCGACTTCCAGATCGCAGTCCGCCTTCTCCTCCTCGCAGTCCAGATTCCAATTGCGACTTCCAGATCGCAGTGGGCACTGCCGGACCTCAACCACAAATTCCAGATCGCAGTGGGCACTGCCGGACCTCAACGGCGACTTCCAGATCGCAGTGGGCACTGCCGGACCTCAACCGCGACTTCCAGGTTGCAGTGGGCACTGCCGGACCTCAACCGCGACTTCCAGATCGCAGTGGGCACTGCCGGATCTCAACCGCGACTTCCAGGTCGCAGTGGGCACTGCCGGACCTCAACCACCAGCTCCACTTTGGACCAGCCTGGGACTTAGGGACTTATAAGTCATGAAGTAAGTTCACTTATAAGTGGCTATGTGGCATGTCAAGTTAGTTATAATTCTCTAAGTGGTTCCTAGTGTGGGGTAGGTTAAGTGGCACTTACTATTGACTTAGGGTGAGATATAAGTTCTATAAGTTAAATGATCATGACTTAGAGATCACTTAGTGACCATTTAGCTTGGATTTTGAAATGTAAGTTTGTGCAAGGGTTTTGGGTTAGCTCTGAAATCACGATGGTTTTTGCAGCCATTTTGGCTGCAGGCATGTCGGTTGAAAAGCAATTGGAAGCTGCGCAGAAATTCCTAAGAGGAATTCGTTCGCTGACCTCCTACGAGGAGGTCAGGGATAAACAGGCGCTGCATGTGGGTGTGCAGAAAGCACTGGACAAAGTGCAGTGCTTCGCGGCAGCTCAAGCGGCTGCGTGGCTGGCACAGGTGCAGCCCGACTTCTGGGGTGACTTCCAAGCGGAGTCCTTCGGTGAGAATGTTGCTGTGAAAACGAGGCCTGTGGAAATCGATCAGACTCGTTGCTTGGACTCTACGGGAGCCTGGGCATGCGCAGAGGGAAGGGCTGCAGACAGCAAGGTCTTGAAACGCCTGAGAACCTTGTTGCTCTACGGGCAGTGGAGCGCTACACATCGGGATGTGCCTCCACATCCAATACTACATGGTTTCTCTTTGATTCCGGCTTCCTACGAGGAAGTGACGAATGCCTGGCGTGAACAATTGGGTTGGAATCAGATGTACCTGTCTGACGACTTGCATCTTGCTGGCAAATGGCTGGCGATCTTGGCATGGCACCTCTCTAGTCTCTAGGCGAGAAAATCGCATTAGGGAATTTCTCTGGTGTCGACGCTGTGCATGGCTTCTACGGCAAGCTCGACGCAGCCTACGGGCTGCAAAGGTGGAGGCAGAAACATCACCATAAGGATTCACCCAAAAAATTCGTTGTTTGTCCGTGTCTGCGGATGTCTGCGGATGTCTGCGGACAGAAAGTATGAAACTGACATGTCTGCGGCACTTGTCTGCGGAGCGTGGAAAAGGTGCTTCCGAGTGGGTTTCCGTGTGTCTGCGGTGTCTGCCAAGAGGGAGAATCCTGCTGGGACACATGGGACATGTCTGCGAGATGTCTGCGGGATGTGCAACCGGCAGAATCATGTCTTCCTAAGGATGTCTGCGGGTTTTCTTTGAAAAAGTGAGAAAAAATCAAAGGTGCATGGGACATCGCCTACGGGGCGATAGCGGGGGCAAGACCCAAGTTTCACTATGCGCTCCATGTCCAAGAACAAATTCACAGATGGCGGCGAGACATTGATTGCTTTGCTGGGGAACGCAAGCATCGTATATTTAAGTCCATTGTGGCTCGGCGCCTGACACGGCTGAATTGCTTCACCCGGAGCACGCTGCTGCAAATGACAGAAACGGAACTCACTACGAGTCACCTCGAAAGTGAGTACACTGGACAACTCATATGGAAGCCCACGCAAGAAGTGGTGCTAGCAATGGAGCTCGGAATATCTCCTGAAAGCTTCTTTGCCAAAGGCATCCAAATCTATTGCGTCGAATACCTACGTGGTAGCTTCGTCCAAATGTCAGCTACGTGTTGCATAGAAATCTTACATGGTCTGTCAAATGCACATGGCTTCTACGTCGCGGTGCGAAAATTGCAATCCTTTCTTGCAAAGAATCATTATCAAATGGAAGCGCCTATCTGGCGCAAAGACAATCCTTGCAGCTTCTACTTTGATGCACGAGGAGCGTATGCGTTTGCGCCGCCAAGATCAAGACGGTCTTTGGCTTTTACGTTAATCCACGACATCAGGAAGCAGCCAAAAAAGCAAATTTGACGGGCGGAGAACACCCCAAGACCATGTCAACATCCATGTTTTCAAAAATGATAAGCATTGCAAAAAATCCCTAGGAAACACTTAGCTCACTTAGCAGCCGCTTAGCTCCCACTTAGAACACCATCAAACCTAAGTTTCCTAAGTGCCACCTAACGGCCAGCTAAGTTCCTAAGTGCCAAAGCGGCTCTATAGCAGATCCCAGTGGGCACTGCCGGACCTCAACGGCCAGATAGAATGCCAGAAGATATGCCAGATGGAATGTCAGATAGAATGCCAGAAGATATGTCAGATAGAATATCAGAAGATATGCCAGATAGAGTGCCAGATAGAATGTCGGAAAAAATGTCAGAAAGATGTATCTGTAGATGTGTCAGACAAAATATATGTAAAGTATTTTTCCCCACCTGCCAGGTGAGGGTTGCTAGATTTTAACAGAGCTCTTCTCCTCCTCCGCCTCCTCCGCCTCCTCACCCGCCGCCTCCTCCTCGCAGTCCAGATCCCACTAGGCACAGCCGGACCTCCACCGCGAGCTCCAGATCCCAGTGGGTACTGCCGGACCTCAACCGCGAGTTGCAGATCGCAGTGGGCACTGCCGGACCTCAACCGGGACTTCCAGGTCGCAGTGGGCACTGCCGGATTTCAACCGCGAGCTCCAGATCCCAGTGGGCACTGCCGGACCTCAACCGCGAGCTCCAGATCCCAGTGGGCACTGCCGGACCTCAACGGCCAGATAGAATGCCAGAAGATATGCCAGATGGAATGTCAGATAGAATGCCAGAAGATATGCCAGATAGAATGCAGAAGATTTGCCAGATAGAATGCCAGAAGATATGCCAGAAGATATGCCAGAACATATGCCAGAAGATATGCCAGAAGATATGTCAGATAGAATGCCAGAAGATTTGCCAGTAAGAAAATGTATAAATTTCATGGTGGGGATCACACGAAGTAAAGTAATTTTAGTAAGTGGATTTATCCTGGGTTTATAGTGCTGCTGAAATCTCCCATGTTTTTTTTGGTTGGTTCACTTACTGTTCAACTCCTGCATCCCAAAACTTGGATCAACTCCAGCCAGTTTGATTATTGTATTTGAAGATACAATATCATAATAAAGCGTACAAACATATCAGAATTCCAACCTTATTTTTTTAATTGAAGCAACTTTTATCATTTTAATTATTGAAGAATGGAATAGTATACACTATCATAGAGATGATTTATAGAATATTAGAATAAATACACTATAATATTATCATGGTAGAAGAACCACTTATAAATACTTTAGTCGAACTTGGATCTACCATAGAACCTACCCCGACATGCCAATACTTCCCATGCTCAAGGCAAATGGACGGGCGAGATTGAGCAGTATGCTCTGCTGGTGGCTTCCCTATGCCATGATCTTGGCCATTTCGGGAGAACCAACCAATTCCTGGTGGAGATCAAGCACGCTCGCCGGCTGCAGGCTGGCCAGGTTTTCGTGGAATCCGGCCAGGGACTATTGGCATATATATTCACCTGGCTGTATTATATATATATATGTATATATGGTGATAATATCCAGAACTATTTATGGAATATATCTTGCCATTTTTTTTGCACACTATGAAATCACCATGTATATACGATGCTGGCATATATTGGGTTCCATGGAAATATACGGTGGAACATTGCTACTGCATCCGCACTTTAAAGAAAGACCTACTGGGGTTGAATGCAACCAAATTCAATTTGTGTCAATTTACTCAGGAGCATGCCAAAATTCAAATGAATTTCGATGTTGGTGAACTGTGCATGTGTTATCCACTCCTGATATCAGCCTAACTTACCTAAGACAGTCTGTTTTTTGCTCATTCATGCGTGGCATTTGGTGCACCGATTACTCATTTTCGCAGGCTACAGCATGTCAGTATGCCATATGTAATCTGATGAATGATGATGAATGTATTTCAAGATATTTATCATCATTTATCCACTTTTAAATATTTTTTATCCTCATTCGTGTTGGTGAAAGCGCCTTTTGGATCCTTTTGAATGAAAAACATGTACCCTCTGGTTATTTAACATAGCCATGGTATAGATGACCCATAGAAATAGATGGTTTACCTGGGTTTACCTATTAATAGCATGGTGATTTTCCATGGCTATGTTAAATAACCAGATGGTATGTATTTTTCTTGACCCAAGATGTCCTCCCATCTGAGGAACTCGCCTTGAGGTATAACGACAAGTCGCCCCTGGAGAAACTTGGCCAAAATCCAACCAGTTTTCGGTTCTTTTTCTGTTGTAAACTGGTGAAGTCCTATTTTGTTGATGCCCCAACAGATTAGTACAGTATATGATGATATATCATTTACATTCATTTACTCATGTATTTTTAAACATTCCGTGATCCCATCCGTTTTTCATCAGTCATACGTCGTCCCCGTAGATTGCCCCGTCGCGAAGATGTTTTTAACTGCCGTGAGGAACATGCACCGTGCCATGCTCTTCCAGTTGTGCCAGCATGGCGACACGGATGTGCTGCTCGGAAGACCTCGTTGTGACCATAGTTAATACCCTCCGGTAACGACTAACATAGCTATTGAAAATGGCCATTTATAGTTGATTTACCCATTAAAAATGGTGATTTTCCATTGCCATGTTAGTTTACCAGAGGGTATATATACATATTCTACTGTATGTTATGATATGGCAACATATGTGTATCATACTACAAGGTCCGGATACCTAGAACAATGAGATTGTATTCCTATTTTACTACTTTTGGTACTTTTACCAATTTTCTTGGGTACTTGAAGGGTCTAAGTAGTCGCTTTCAAACAACAGCTGCCATATTTGGTTCGCACATGATTTCCGGAATTTGAGAAAACACCCGCTTCAGTTCCACAAACTGCACACCTGTCAGGTATTCATCAAAATTGAAGCTGCACAAAGCTAGAGTTCGGACCGCGAAAGACCAGGGCTTCCCACGGTTTCCCCCAACTTTTCCCAGTTTCAAAACGGCGGCGGTGCCAGGTTTGCCTTTGCCACGCCGGAGCAGCAAAAGGAAGCCCGTGACTTGGCCGATATCCCCACGGCTTTTTGGTTCCGCTAGCGGCAAGGGACAATTTCTCATCTGGGACAATGTGTATACAGGGGTTGGTAACTGTCCCATTTTGGATATATTGGACATCACCTTATAGTAGCCATTATAGACTATATACCTACTGGTTGGGTGATGTTCAATGGGGACATTTAATGACCCATGTGTATATAATAGATCATGTGAGTGCGCAATAGTGCGCACACACAGGACATATCTATACATATCTGACATAAAAGATGATAAAATGATAAAAGTTATGATGCTTATCTTGCCACAAGAATGGCAATGGGATAAAACATAAAACTTTCGAAAAAAAACAATTATCAATCAGTGATTTGGCCGCCTTTGATGCATGGATTCAACTGTTTTTTGTGCCCATAGACATAGTGGGTTCTGGACGGAACAGTCTGAACAGATCTGAACACAGTGTTTCGGTTGATGTGGTAAAGCACGGTAAAGCCTGGTAATTTTTCACATAACGAACTGGAAAGATCCACCATGCTATTAGTGGGTAAATCAACTATTTCAATGGGCCATGGCTTCAATAGCTATTTTGACATAACCAGAGGGTAAAGCCATAAATTCATAAACCATCCCCAGGGTTCCAAGATTTTCTGCAGGAAAGATCGCCATCGCGGCGATTTTGCACACGGACAACGTGCATCACTTCGACATGGTCAAGGTGACGTTGGACGTGGCGTTGCCGCAGCGATGTGGTTGGACCTGTGACGTCAGCTTCAATGGAAATTCTGAGGTACAGGGTAACTATAACAGGCATGAACCAATTTATACCATCTGGTTATCTAACATAGCCATGGAAAATTACAATTTTAGTAGGTAAACCATCTATAAATGGGCCATTTTCCATGGCTATGTTAAATAACCAGATGGTACCAATTTCTTCAATCTTTTCTCAACATCAAGAGTTCATGATAGTTAGTAACCATCGACATCGGGGATCCTCGGAAAAATGCCAGGACGTGAGCGCCGTCTACGAGATGGAGAGCGGGCTCTGTGATTCACAGGCGATTTCGCCAGAGGTGATCACTCAGCCGTACCATGAGAGAGTGCTGCAGGGCAAGAACAAGATGAGACTTGGCAAGAAACCGGAAAATCACATGGGAAAATGATGGGAAAATCCATGAACATCCATGATGTTCCATGTCATGCTTCTTCATCGCAAGATCCTTGAGCGTCATGATTTTTAATGATTTTTAAGGTTCATTTCTTGAGGTTTGCTCACGGACTCATTACATACCTCCATGTTAACAGAGATTCATCCTATAGTAGCGCTGAACGACTCGCCACGAACTTAGCCACGAACGACTCGCCAAGGATGTGGCTGCAGCTGTTCCTACACTTTGCGGATGTCTCAAATCCTCTGCTCCTTGGGCAAGAAACACACACAGCGAGATATGACTTTGACAGAGCTGGGATGAACTCAAAAAACCGGTGAAAGAACCGCTTGGTGCTTTCAAGGTTGTTTTCAATTTATTATTTATATTGTAATATATTATTATATATAACATATATATATATATTTAATTAAGTTTATATACTTATTATATTGGATATTATTGGATATTATGATATTGGATCATGGTCCCTTCAATGACTTTCATGTCGTAAATGAGGAACCAATGGGAATCATGTCACCAATGTGTGATCTACGTCTACGTTGATCGTTGCAGAAAAATCCCACTGTGTGCGGCTCATTCCCAGCCAATCTCTTTACCGGAATCACCAAATTTTAGTAGAAACTAATCTTCCAACCCCTATCTGGCAGGGTCTATGTTAATTTACTGGAGGTATTTGCTAGACTATTATGATAAATCTGACTGCCAAATCTTAGGTCAATAAGTAGTCATAAGTAGTCATTCTGACTAAATCGACCTATTCTTGCGGCTTCCTTCATAAATGGACCTACATATTTCAGCCATTATTTCTTCACCCTTCCTAAGGAAGCCCTTCGACATTTGCATGTCTTGGGCATGGCGGGTCCTCGACGAATTCTTCGACCAGGGAGACGAGGAGAATGCCATGCCCTAGCCATTTTCCGCTATGACAAAGAAACAGAGAGGGTATCGTTCCGCACTTGGATATGGCAATGTTTTTTTTTTTGGTTGGTTCCATGTTTAATTTCGAGTGTGTGAAATATTGCGAATGATGATAGAAGCAATGATACCACCAAGCTTTCCCATGCAAAGTATATCTAGTTGCATCATACCACATTCGCCGTGTAGATTTCCCAGCATGGAGGGAATGAGCAATGGCGTCAGTAGCAATCCAGTAATGACAGTCAGGCGAAAGACAGCCAAACATAATCACGACAACAATAAACGTTACTTTCTGCATTTTTCATTCTATGGTCAAAAAAGCTCTCATGACAACTTGACAACATCGATTTTTAGTGATGTGATGTGAGTTGTGTGGTTGATCTGTTTGGTTCATCTACTTGGACCCTTTTCCTCTTCTCTCCTAATGTTCTTCCTCTTCGGTTTGATCCTTCTTCTTCCAGTTTCGTTTTTTTTCTCTCTCTCTCTCTCTCGCTCTCTTTCCAATTCTTTCCTGTTCTTTGTCTTGTCTCTTTTTTTTAAGCTAAGCCTAGCATCTTAGTATTGCCAAAAAAAGGTTCTGGCTTTCAGCTCAGCTCCTATACATCAACAGCTCCAACTATCATACTATCGGTTGTGCTGTGGCTGCTGTACTTCTCTTACAGTGGAGGAGTGGTGGCGAGTTCACCTTTAGTTGCATGTTCTGATAGAAACTCTAGGGCTATCATTTTCAGGTTTCCAATGTATTTTTTCGCATCTATTTTGGGGGTGCTATTTATAAAGCAGCTGCTACATAGACTATAGATATATCACCTTAACATCTGTTTTTTGTTTTTAATATTACAATCATATTCTAATCATATCATATCCTGGTTAATATCCATTATAAAGCCCAGTTAACCCTCCGGAACCATGACAACCTTCCATCCCATGTGTCAGGAGAAGGACCTGGGAATCCCCGTGGGGATGTTGAACGACCGCCACAAGGCGCGCTCCTTTGGGGCGGCAGGACTCGGAGGTCGAGAAGTGGGCGCTATGAACAAGGCCGTTGTGTTATATATATATGGGTGGAAAACCATAGGAAAACCATAGGAAAACCATATCTATAGTTGGTTTGTATACCTATAGTTGGTTTATAAACGTACCACTACCTATGTATAGTTGGTGTTTAATCTATATACTGGTTTATATATCTGGGTACATTATAGCATTAGTCATGGGGGTACCCAATTACTGGATGGTTTATAGTGGAAAATCCACATCTATAAATCTGGTTGGTGGTTTGGAACATGAATTTTATTTTTTCATTTAATCCCAACTGACTTTCATTTTTTCAGAGGGGTTGAAATCACCAACCAGTATAATATTCTACATACATACCCTCTGGTAAACTAACATAACTATGGAAAATCACCATGTTCAATGGGTAAACCCACTATAAATGACCATTTTCAATAGCTATGTTAGTTTCCTAGAGGGTACATATTTGATGAATTCCGATGCTCTACTTCGATGATTTTTTAAACGACGACCTGAGAGAAATCCATCAGAACGTCTAGCAGGTGAACCGTCCTGGCTCGCAACATGGCTTCATCAACTTTCTGGTGGCCCCTTTCGTTGCTGCCTCTGCTGCTTGCCACGAATCAGAATGTCCTAACGGTTGGTGATTGTTATTCATTTATTTATTTATTCATGTATTTATTTATTCATTTATTTATTTTATATATGCAGACAAATACGTATACATTCGCACATGGTGGCACAAAATTATGTAATTGTCATCATATATTATACATACATCAATTCTGTAAAATATAGAAAGCTATATTGCGATATGAAACTATATGTCCTAATCAGGAGGTCCGGTGCTACAAGACAGAATTTTGGTACAAATCAATATGTTGCCAATATAAATTATGTGGATGGGTCTGAACATGGGGTATGCTCGTCGTGCAGGTTTTGATGAATTTTGATAGGTAAGGATCAAGCTGTCAAGCACTGGGATGTTGGGGTACCATATGGATGGTTGGTGGTGACTGGATGTTGGGTTTTGCAGATCATTTGATTCACTGCTTGGTGGTGACTGGAACATTGGTTTAGTATGGGGTAATGATGGTTAATCATGGTTAATCATGGTTAATAATCACTGGTTGGTGGTGACTGGAACATGAATGGATTATTTTTCCATAGATTGGGAATGTCATGATCCCAACTGATGAACTCCATTTTTCAGAGGGGTAGGTATACCACCAACCAGTATTTCATGTCATAAACATCAGATTTCAACCAGTTATATAACCATTATAAACCATATTAAACTACTATAAACCACTATAAACTACTATAAACCACTAGAAAAACCATAGTCGTTGTGGCTTTCATCCGATGAAAGCCATGGGATTTTGTAGGATGGCCATGGTAAAAACCCATGGGTTTTCCGGTGAAGATTTTCCCAAGAAAACCAATGAACTCATGTGTCCATTTGTTTGGTGATTCTGGTTGCATTATGGGGTCTCATTCGATTTGTCCAAACTGTCGGAGGAGTCCGTGCTGGATATAACGTATTTTTTTTTTGCTGGATAATGTGGAATAACTTGGAGAACTTTACCCATTGCAAAACTAACATAGCTATTGAACATGGCCCATAGAAATAGTTTATTTACCTATTAAAAATGGTGATTTTCCATGGCTATGTTAATTTTTTCCGGACTATATATACATATAAAATCATATAAATATATCAATCACTTGGGCATTTTACCATGCAAAATCCTCCCAGATCAGTGGCAACGTTCCATGCTGCAACAGCATGCAACAGCGAGGAGGTCCGGGTCTTCCCGGGCTTGCAGCCCTTGCATTCCCAGATGATCCGAAATCTGGAGGTGGATGCCATCGGTGGAACAGGTGTCATGTTCAATGAAACATTCATCCCCGGCCTGGTTATGACTAACATAGCCATGGGATTTCGATGGCCCTAATCGAAATAGATGGTGAACAACTGGGTTTAGCTATTAAAAATGGTGATTTTCCATGGCTATGTTGAATAACCAGAGGGTATATATGTACATATACCAGCATATATTCTTCGCAACTGTACTGAGACATACCCTTTGGTGATTGAACATAGCTTTTTTTTGGAAAATCACCATATTAATTTGTAATTGTAATGGTTTCTTCATCTACAATGGACCATGGCTTCCGTAGCTATAGTTGAGAAGTTGGGTCCCCTGTCGTTGCGCTTGCGTACGGCTTCCGGATGAGTAAGTCCCCTAGCTTTGAATTGGTGGGTTGTGATTCTAGCAACCCACGGTATAGAAGAGTAAGCTCCCACTTTAGCGAAACATGTAATATATATATATATATGTATATATATAATACAAAGATAACTAACAATGATAGCAATATATTATATTTTTTATACATATATGCATATATATATATGCATATTGATATACATATTAATATACATATTAATATATATATATATATATATATATTGATTGATTGTTTTGGGGTTACCATGGTTGCATGACCAGAAAAAGGGCTCAGCTTCAAGCTGTCGCAGCAGCCTTGTTGCTGCAGGCCTGGCGTAACATTTGGATCGAGGACGGGATGGAGGTAAAAAGCCCCTTGTGCTTTTTGTATCATACGCTATGGAAAATCACCATTGTTTTTAGTAATTTTAATAGGTAAATCAACTATAAATCATAATTTTAATCGGTAAATCAACTATAAATTATAAATCATAATTTTAATAGGTAAATCAACTAAAAATCATAATTTTAATAGGTAAATCAACTATAAATCATAATTTTAATAGGTAAATCAACTATAAATCATTTATAGTTACTATGGACAATCACATTTTTATGGGGATTTGATCGGTTAGAAATAACTTATGGGATGAAAATTGTCCAGAATGTTATCAGGATGTTATTTTTGATAGATTAGAAATAACTTATGGCCTTAGATATCTAATTAGGGGAGAGGCAGGGCTTGGTGCAGTGGGGGAATTAGTTACCCTCTGGTAAACGTTACATAGCTATGGAAAATCACCATGTTTAATGGGTAAATCCACTATTTCTATGGCAATGTTCAATAGCTTACCAGATGGTATTGCTAATGTGACATGACCCAGACCCATATGGCAGATTATAGCAGTGATTTTTCCTCCGATTCCCGTGACACGTCTTGAAGCCCGGCAGGAGACCAAACCGACGGCCGAGGACATTGCGAAGAAGGATGCGGATGTATCTCAGCTTGGTGGTTTGAGTATAAGACGTATAAGACTTGCTAAGAAGTAGTGACTCATGAGTTGAATGTGAATCATTTTTTGATAGCTAAATAATCGAAATATAGCTAAATGGGACATTTTTTTGCTATGTTTGGCATAATATCGAATGTTTATAGCAAACTGGATGAAAAACGGTGCAAATACATAACATATATATATATATCCATATGATACATTCCAAATTAAATAGATATATACATTTTTTCGTTCAAGATATCTTGGATTTGCAAACCACATTTTAATGAAACAAATATATGCATTATATATTTTTAGAATATAAAGGACAGACGGCAGAACTTGATGTAGTGTGTGAATGTTATAGTCACAGAACAAAACAGTTTTTGGAGGCGTACAGGTCACACCTGCTGGACACAATTTCATGTAGTTGTTTGTTGGTTGAGACCAGTCAATGGGTTGATTCAAGAGCAACCCACAAATTTGTAACTGCCAATGGTTGCTTTCCTGTGAAGTTTCGAATTCATTCATGTCATGAAGACTCCACTCATGTTTATGATTTATAGATTTGCAAAAGGTCCTGCAAATCTATGTTCTCGTTGGAAACGGGTGCCCCTAACGCTTCCGAAGTTGACTTAGGACCCACGATCAGGATTTTAGGAGCCACAGCCAGAAAAACAACCAAAAACCACCAACCATCACCGCTAATATCTACAAGATTTAACAAGCAGGTAATCATCAACAACCATGATTTCTCAGATATTCGTGAACCGCCCAAAGGTTTCCTGCGCCTTGTTTCGTGAAACAAAAACGGGACGCACCGGGCACCGGATGCCGACTAGTCACCAGTCCCCAATTTGTGGTTTGTTTGAATTTCCTGGGGTTCTCCGACTCTGTGGGTCATCATTCTGTTCCCAAAAGAAACTGATCATTTTGAGGTGTATACACCATGCTCAGACATACCCAGTTGGTGATCTAGTAGAATCTCTATTTGTCATAGTACTTTCCGATGTTCATTACAATCTGCTAATCACGGGAAGCAACATTCATCAACATTCAGCATCCACATGCATCCACCAAAACCATCCAAAAACCATCCCAAAACCATCCCAAAACATCCCAAAACCATCCAAAACCATCCAAAAATGAAGATAGGGCAACTCAAGCCACAGGGAAGTTCTTGTCTCCCGCGCGGTGATCCCATCAAGGTGGCCAAGCTTTGGGCATTAGACGCTGAGTTGTTGGGGCGTGGCAGGGTTGCCTGAGAACGAGGGATGCTGATCATCAGCAGCCGGAAAGGCCGTCTCTCAGGAAAACGTGACCGTAGAAAACTGATAAAAATTGATAAAAAAATCCCAGGATTTACGGATTTTCAGGCCTAGTTTGAAGTAGTTTGAAGCCCACATGTCACCGTGAATTCTCCTTATGTTTGCTTGCCAAACCATTGCAATTTTGCGATGCAGCCAATAGACATCCTGAGAACAATCGTGAACGGGGCTTCCAGGTACTTGTAAGAGGTCGGAATTCTAGACACAGAACCACAACTATACAATACGTTACATCTGCGTTTATATTGCGGGGTGTATTAGTACATGTGTATATATATATATATATATATAAATACAGTGTATATATATATATAATAGAGATTGTTATTATCTATTAGGTTTTATCATCATATATAAATTTTATAGTTTCACTGATGTATAGTTGACAATATAAAGATATATATATAATATGTCCAATTATTTCAAATCACGCATTGTGTACGTTATATCTGATTTGTTTTTCTTTACCTGAAACAATCATGTTTCAGTGATAGCGAAATAAGACTTCATGAAAACAGTATCCTAGTCAAAACGGGACGTTCTAGTGGAATGTTTGTGTGAATTCGAGTAGTTAATCATGCTTGTTATATATGTGTATCCTACCACATCTCAATAATGTTCCCATCATATCCAAAGCAACATCCACTCGTTGCACAAGTCTCTCAATTACTTCATTAACTCTCCACGACGATTCCATTTTATCCAAGTTGTTGTTTTGCTTTCTCCCAAGAATGTTTCCCTCATTCTCAGTTTTCAATGATTCCCTGTTTGATCTCAATTACTACTGGGTTCATGGGAGTGGTGTAAACTGTAATCTGAGATTGTTTAATGAACATGTAGAAGGACAGAAACCAGATCCACCTGCTATGCGTTTTTTTTCCCTCATGAACCCAGACTATCTCAACTGTTTTGCTCGCAGCCCATGCGGGAGCATTGGGCCGGAAGAAGGTTGAGTTGGGTGCAGGGTGCCAGACTACATCCAGCAAGAATGATGCAGACTCCAATGTTCAATCAAGGTGTAAGCAGTCCATTAAAGTCATTCAAAGTGCAAGTGTTAATAGGACAAATGCATATATATATACACGTATGTTTTACCTATGTGCATATTTATACGTGTATATATCTATATATGTATGTATATATATCTCTATCTCTATATATATATATATATGTATGTAAATAATGTATATATATATATATACATATAAATATATATATGTGCATTATATGTATATATGTGTATGTATATTTACCATATATGAACCAGTTACTGTATTATCAACTATGTTCCGTCCCGATTTTGCTGGTACATGATGGCTTGCAGGAGTTTTTGGTGGTCCAACACATGGGGGTACATGATCTATGTACACACGATGATCAACACTGTATTTACAGGGGCCCTATGGACGGGATATTGCCAGCTTCACTCAAAGAACGTCTTATAGACCATACAGGACAAGCAACGCTTGGCCATACATGCACATCCGCAGTTATATATATTCATACCCATGTACTGTACTTGCATACACAAACACATAGTAGACCCATCTGGATATTTGCACACCATATGGATACACATAAAATAGATAGGTAGATAAACATACATAGATTGTTTCAACAAGTGTTGTTTTTTTTCAGTGTTTTGAGACGAAGGATATCTATCTAAGTTCCCGAGTTCCCCCACCCAGCTTCAAGCCATGACGTCGCAGAGAGTTTCACAGCAACAAAATCCTGGCAAAGTTTCTAGCGCCGCCGATGCAGCCATGTGAAGGCTCTTGGTTCTGCCATAAATGACTAAAGTTGTGTTGCTTCAATCACCGTTTTTGTTGGTGAAATGATAGATATGACTTGGTGTTTCTATTATAATCTATTATATATTTTTTATCGGGTAAGAATGGACAATTACCTAAAATATGTATAATATGTGTGTGAAATGCTGTGTAAGAAAATGGGATATCGGATACATAAATCATTTAAAATTACAAATCCAAAATGTTATTTGTCGGAAGCCATTGCTTTGCATTCCTGCATCGTTTGCACCTTCCTTTGAAGGCACAGTTTCGGGTAAAGCCCGAGATGTCGCAGGATCATCGACGCCCCGAGAAACTCTTGTTACAATGCACGTTCTTTGCCACGGATGAAAATGATGAAAAAACATGCTAGCAAAAAAGCACACCTACAAATTCAAGATGAATAATCTAATAGATCATGTTTATTGTGTTTAGTGTGAATGTGATTTCGAATATACGCGTTTGATTTTTTGAAACTGCATATGCACATGCATAGGTACCGTGTACAATAATAGGCATTGTTTCCCAAAACTGAGCAGGCTATCAAACTGATTTCAATATGGGGGTTTACTATATGTAAAAATTTAGTGATATATACATATAGACATGTACATGCATACGTATATATATATATATATATATATGTATGTATATGCATGCCGTCCCAATGTGTACAATATGTGTGTGTATTTGGCTAGGTTTGCCACATTTCTCATGGATTGTAAACAAATTGTGCGTGCAATATAGTATATTTTCCTTGCCACCAAGAGAGGGGTCAGATTGTCGCACAAAACGCCCGGGAATGTCTCACGCGTAGCGCCCATTGCGCCGCGGAGCAGCAAAGTCGCCCGGAAAAGATGGTCCTCTAAGAGATAGTAGAGTTTTCCAGGACCAACAAAAATGGTGGTACAATGGGGATATGGGATAATTGTATATACTTGTATCAGATATCTAATGATTGTAAGTGCAGCAAGGAAGGATCAAACAGATGCCGAAAAAGAGTTTCCACGATGTTGTACATGATGTTCCCTTGAGAATTTGGGGGTTGCTGTAGATGCCCTGTTAAAGGCTCAGTTATCAATTCCTAAACCACTCCCGTGCCCTTGGAGTTGGGTTAGGAGCCTGCTGATCTTACCAAACAGGGTATAAATTCCAGCTTGTCGCAATGTAAGTGAAGCACAACGTTTTCATATTTCCAGCGGAAGGTTTCTGATTTCCAGGCAACCTTCATTCGCTGATATGGTCCCATCCATTTATCTCAAAACATGGAAACCCTGACCGGAAAGTCCAGCTGGCAAGCCTAAACCATTCCGCTTTGTGGAGCACAAACTCCAAGGTTTTCTGCAACGAGACTTGACTCCAGCAATTTAACCTGACGAGTGAAAGCCAGCGATGATTCCATTTGAATTCGTGGCGTACAGGGTGAAATCGTAGTTTGGTTCAAGGATGTTCAAGGTTCAATTTCAGTATAAATTATACTTCAATTGCGTTTCAATTTTGGAAACCAGTGGTTCCCATGGTTTCCCCCATTCAAAATGTTGGTTTCCCAGGTGTTTGATGAAGTCCGACTTCGGGACTCTCTCGGGTCTCTCAAATTGTGCCGTGTCCGTCCTGAGGAACAAGGCCCCAACGGCACCCTGACGGGCAACTCCGCCGGGATGCCGAGAAATTCACCGTCCCAGTCTGCATTTTGCAGGCAATTCCCCTATGGCCCCATTTTATGCTTGGCAGTTGCTTGTGCCGTTTTTATCTTGGCACACCTGGGGTTCGAGTCTTACCTATATTATATATTCTTATTGTACACACACACACATATATATATATACCCTCTGGTTATTTAACATAGCCATGGTATAGATGGCCCATAGAAATAGATGGTTTCCCTATTAAAAATGGCGAGTTTCTATGGCTATGTTAGTCATAACCAGATGGTATATATATATGCATATACATATGTAGATCATCTTGGATCACTTTGGATCCCCATCGATGCAGCGTTCATTCCCGTGTTCCCTGAACCGAGGAGCTCAAGGGCATCACTGCCGTTGCTGGCAAGGTGGTGGGAAACCGACTCACATTCGACCAGACCAGCGCAAGTGGCACTGTGCCATCGGCTGCATCTGATGGGGATGGGGGATTGGGCACCTTTTGGCTGCTGGGCCGTAGGATATCCCTGGAACTTCCCACGTCCCAGGTATGGACAAATTTCACATTGTCTTTTCCTGGCAAAATCGGTTTTCACCTCCAAATGCTTTTTATCAGCCGCTTTTTTGGGTCTATTGCGGTCAGTGCTTCATTTCATTCCAGCTTTGTGTGCTTGATTTTCGTGCCTAGAAGCATACCTGAGACCACAAGTTTAATTGCCAACGTCAAATGACAAAACATAGTGTCTTGGTAAGAAATTTTGAAGATGGAATAATTAAGAGTGCGATAGGAAGAAAACACACACTTCTCAACCAAGCAGCGACATTTTGCAATCGAACGGCAACATTTGGCCACCGGGCTGTCACATATGGCAATGCCATGTTGGCTTGAATAAGGGGTTTAGTGAGGTGATGATGTGCTTTGATTTCCCACTCCTGCAGAAAGGGGCCAGAGACCTCTTCAAACTCAACTGTTTCTTTGAAGCCCCCCAAAAATTTTTGCCAATCAACGTTTCTTTCCCCACACGAATACAATGTGCTGTTTCGTTCAAACAAATATGTAACATGTGTGCGCATAGATGGTCCAGGTTTCTATGCAAGTCTGGTTGTTTTGTTTCCCTAAAGGGCATACCAGTAAAGAACATGGGAGATGTTGGGGTGTTTCACATCCTAGCAAGGCGGGAAATAGCCAGGTATACCACTGTCAGTGCACATTTGCCAGAGCGCGGGGTCTCAAGACCGGGTGGTGTAGTTGTACTGATGACATCACGACATCACTCGGATTTGTAAAGGTTAGCATTAGCGGATTTATGTTAACATCGCTGTATTTATATATTTTAGGTTGGTGCATCAAACATGGTGATTTCACCAACACATTGATGTTTTGAGTGATTCACTCTTGGGTTCATGTGGGATGCTAGCAACGAATAGTTGCAACCATGAGAGGGGATTCATTTGGATAGATTATAACGACCTCACTGCGACATTACTGGAATGATGGTCATATTTTGGGGAATTATCCAAAAATGGCCAATGGATGCCAATGGCCGTTTTTCCACAGCCTGGTGAGGTATTACGATTTATTACTATGATGCAAACAACCCCCAATTCCACCAAAACCATATGATGCAAACCATCCCCATAAAACATGCATGATGTTGTTTTCCACATTGCCCAACCAAAATGGTGGACTAAAACCCCCAAAAGATCGATGAAAGTGGAACATGACGCCCTGAAAGATGATCCTGATTTTATCATATTTTATTCACCAACCTGACAGCAATTCAGCACTGCATTTATCAGTCCATGTATAAATGATTGGATTGGTTTAAGGGAAAATTTACAGGAAACCATAGATTTTCCCATTAAATATGGGGCTTTCCTATGCTTTCCTAGATTTTCCCTTAAACCAATCCATGTTTTATCAGGTGTCACATTTGAAACATATCTGGTGAAAGATCAATTGATTCATTTTTCGATCTGCGCCTGTGTTGGCCTGTGAAAGGACCAGCTTGTCAATGGGATATGGCGGTCCTCTGGGCACGGACACCGAGAAGGGACACCGAGGAAAGTCTTCGGGGAGGTTCCCCATATTTTGCCTTGATTTGCTGAAGATTACCCTCTGGTAATTTAACATAGCTATGGAAAATCACCATTTTTAATGGGTAAATCAACTATAAATGGCCATTTTCCATAGCTATGTTAGTTTACCAGAGGGTAGTTTGGTTTTCCCAATGGTAAATCCACTAGCGAATCTGTATGGATTTTTTTTGGGGAGGGAGGTTCCTTAAGCAATTCCAAGAATGAACACCCTATGAACTGGAATGTTCTGTTTTTTGGACGGGATGATTCAGCCACGGTGAGGGCGAGACTCCAAGCTCGTGGAATGACCCACTTATCCCATTCAAAATTGGGATCTGTACCTAATTGCAATCCAGACGCGGGTGCTCATTCATGAATTCCCAGCTGGACTATCATGGCTAAGAAATGCTATATCCGTTAAGATAACAAGCCCCCCAGTGCCCGGCTTGGGTGACCTGTTTAGTTAGTAAGTCGCTTGTAAGGATCTACATTTACATCTAACAAAACCAGCGACAAGGGACGGTCTACTCCTATGACCTGTTGATTATCTTGTCATATCTTGTCATTGGCTATAGAGTATAGCTTCACTTTTTTTGGATAGCTGAAATTCCATTAATACTGATTCAACTAACCGTATGCCTACTAAGTTTGATTCATGTAGGCATTGATTTGATGTCAATTCCATGTGCATGCACAAATCATGATTTGGCATCATCTTGGGTCACTTTCGGAGCTGGAAAAATCACATCATTACGGATTACCCTCTGGTAAACGTTTACATAGCTATTGAACATGGCCCAGTCGAAATAGTGGATTTATCAATATCTTTCATAGTTTTTTGCTTTCATCGAAGGGAGTTTAGAAGAGGATAATACTTTTCATAGTTTTTTCTAAACTTCCTGGCTTCAAATGGTGATTTTTCATCGTTAATCCCCAGAATCCTGCAGTACCATGCATAGTCAGACTCCTGCAGTCCGAAACGAAATCCTTGGGGTCTATGGAATCCGGGGTCGTCCAGGCGGTGGGCTGTGGAAAATCAAGCACCATATTTTGGGGAAACATATATATAAGGGTGCAATTCCAGGTATAAGTGCTTCTGTATACAGCCATAATATACTTATTATATTATATCATATGTATATATATATATACATATGTATAGGCCCCCCCCATCTCCCAACTTTTGGATAGGCTGCCATGGTTGTGGCACCAGCCGAGGCCAAAGCCCATGCATGGCACCTTCACCGGCGAGCGGAAAGGTGGGGGAGAACTTCACTTGGCACCTGGCAGAAATTCCCATTTCTGGATGGGAAAATAGAAGAAAACATCAGAAAACCAATTTATAAATGTGGTAGATACATAGGAGATTACACTGCTGTGTGCTTGAAACCATGTGGGATCCATTTTGAACTGTTTCGGATGGTACGGAGCCTGCTTGGTGCAAGCTGCACGGCAACGCGTGATATTTCAAGAAAACACAGTCTTGAGCCAGAACATTTGAATCATGTCATGATTTTTGCACGTTTCATCACGTTTCCCATTGTTCATTTGTAAGTGTGAAATCAGTTTTGTGAGGAAATGCCCCCACTTGTATGGTTTTCTTTGAACATGGGGTATACTCCAAACCCGTGGTTGATCATCATGGGTTTCGCAACGGCCATGAACGCCAGGTCGAGCACCTTTCGTGGATGCTGGCGGGACAGAATGGGACCCTTTGACGGATTTCGTCAGGGCAGTGGTGGGGGCCTCAAGTGATCAAAGGCTTTATGAGCCATCAACCACTAAGAAATCGCTTGTTAACCATCAATTCCTGGGGGTCCCCTTAGTCCCCTTTGGGGGCGCATTGAATCCTCATGGGTGGGAATGACCTAGCGCGAAACCTGTTGTTGTTGTTGTTGTCATATGTTCCGCAGTTCTAGTGGTAGATCAGGGGGTTGCGGTGGGAGTGGGCCGGCTGGGGTGGCCATATGAAGGAAACATCGCCCCTGGCCGTTGTTCTTTGCACTTGTTTGTGTAGGTGTTACCCTGGGGTAAACATACGGAAGGATGTGGAAAACCCATTGAGAACCCTCAAGAAATGATCTACAAATATGTAGTTAGTTGGTTTTCTACATCTACAGTACTTTAGTTTACAGGAGGGTAACTTTGACCGCTATATGACCTGTTAACCCATAATATTTGTGTGCTCCAAAATTTCCTTTTTATTGTCTCCAACAAATCCCATTATTTTTGGTACCGTGATGATATTATATCCCATTATTTCTCAATATTTTCATTACTGGGTAAATGGGAAGGGGCCAAACATTTCTCCTTGGAAGGGATAGCAGTCCCCAAAAAGATGCCGAAACTAATGTTTCCAGGATATTCAGGATATTCGTTCTATGATATTTCCTGTTTATCTCCACGTTTCCCAGTCTTCAGCTCTTTTTTTGTGTTAATTTGGTTAATCTACATGGAGAGATACATGGCTTCTCATTACTAAGTTACTAGAGCCAATCTTCGCCACAGGGCACGCTTCAGATGAACGAGCGTTTGTTTGTGAGCAAGACCAAGCCAATGAGCATGAAGGTTGGGGCACGGTGCAGTTCCTCATGATGGTTTTTAAACTCGGTGCAGTTTCCATGGGGTTGAGCTACACATTGGGATTTCATCGGAGTCACTGGGATTTCATGGGATTGGGGTTTAATCATGTTTAATATTGTGAAAAATGAGATGTTGAATTTGTGGCTTAATGTGGGCTCATATGGTTTCATCTGGAAAAAGTCCTCATGATGATGAGGATGCTGGTTTTCTTGTGGTAGATAATTGCCCAATGCATCCAATGCCATGAACCATCCCCAAGGATACTTTGTTTCCCACACATGGCTGGTATCAATCATCCCTACATTGTAGCTTTACAATGTGGATTGCCACGTCAAGTAGTTGATTGTTCTACCACAAGTGGTTGGGGAGATTATTAGCGTCAAAATCGAAAATCCAATCATTATATATATATATATATTAATTCTGACTCATTTCCATTTCGAACCCATGGTAATTCATGTTTATTCATCCATATGACCACATTTACCCCAAAAGAATCCAAAAGTCATCCACATGCAGCTGGGCCAGGGTGACCTGACAGCGATGGGGAGAGAGAGAGAGAGAGAGATCCACATGCAGAGAATGTGTTTTCATCATTAATGCATCGTGATGGTGATGGAATGATCTCCTTTTTCTTTGAGGCTGTTTTTTTTGTTTTTTTTTTTCGATGGACTGGTTTCAGGGACCACCGGAAACCCAATCGATCGCGCAGGACTTTGATCCGTTGATCAAGGCCCTAAAAGACATTTTGGTTGGGCAGGCGCGAACTGCTGATTGCCATAACTGTTACACTTAAATCACCAAGATTATATCATTTAGGGACCCAAAAGACTTCAAAAGAATCCAAACGTGATGTTTAACTAGGATATTATGTTGATGGATTTTGCTCTTCTACCCCTGAAGAGGGTCTGCTGTAACCCATATTTAAGAGTTGACAGAAACACCCTTGCGACATTTGGAATCTGTATTTGGCATGTATTTGGCAAGTTGGAATCAGTTAGGAGGCTGCTTGATAAAGCTAGACTCTAGACTTAAATAGCTAGAAAAATGGTGACACATTGGACCCATTGGTACTGGACTTTACTCATCCTGGTACTTGGATCATCTTGGATCAGTGGCATAATATGGGTGGAGATTCAAGGAGTAGCACATTTTGTTGCGACTTATGGCACTTTGCAATGCCTCCCTTGGGACATAACACACGGGAGCTTCTTATGTGAGTGCTTTGGGAAGGTTTTTTGGTTCTACATTGGTCTTAACAGAATGACATCCGAAACTTGGATGTACCAAACTTTACCAAACCTATTATCCATAGGATCCATGTATGCTATATATGGTAACATTTACCATCAATATACCCCAAATGTTAGCATATATATACCATACATGGATCCTATGGGTTATAAGTCTCTTTCACTGGGCCCCTCGGGTTTTTCCACCGAGACATGGCAGGATGCTGTCACCTCTTTCAAGATGGAGGAGGAGGTCAGCGCCAGCTTGGCCGATCCTTTCGTTGCTCGGCGTTTACTGCGGACGTGCGATAAAAATGCGATATCGTTGTTGGGTACCCGGCCTGGTAAACTAACATTTTTCATGGGAAAACTATGGAAACTCACCATTTTTCATGGGAAAACTATGGAAAATCACCATTTTTAATGGGAAAACTATAGAAAATCACCATGCTATTAATGGGTAAATCAATGTAAATCAACTATTTCTATGGGCAATTTTCAATAGAAACTGTTTGTTTACCAGAGGGTAACTTGTTGGTATTTATGACTTGAACAATAATCCTGGGATTTATGGATCAAAATGGCGAACATCGGGATGACTGCAGAATTAGTCGGAACTGTATTTTCATATATTTTAACTAGTCGCAAACCTAATCTGTGATGGGTTTATGGTGGCATTTATTCCTACAATCTGCCCACAGTGGATCCATCCTTGGGGAAAAAACAGAAGAATATTTGGTATAAAAATAGCTAACATTAAGAGCTGAACTAAACAGTTGAATCCTAAGTTGGGGCTGAACATGGGTCCAGTATAGATTTGGCCCCAAAAATAGCTGGCTTATATCGAACTTGGGTGCCCCTTTTTTGGGACGAACCCCTTTGCTTTGTGGAGTCAAATGCAAGCTTCTTTCAAATTCAGAAAGGTTGAGTCAGATAGAGATATCACTGATCTTGGTGCGGTTTTCTAGCATAGACTTTTGATCCAAAAACCCTCTCTAGAGAAAATTCCCCCAATACTTGGAGGCACACTACTCACACTTCCAGACCAGTTTGCATCGACGATCCTTTTTGTTCTGGCCACAAGTAAATGTGGGATCCGGTGTTTGCCATCATCACCCCAACTCCAACTATCCCAACTATCCGACTTCATTCGGGGGCTATGAGGTAAAGCAAAATCCATATCCCAATAAAATCCAATAAATATATATTAAATATCCCATAAAACGGGGTACTATGGGTACCTAGAACTCTCCAAGTAGAAGAAATAGGTATTATCCCCATGATGATACTGTTACCGCTGTTACCCATGAAATCTTGGGTCTAGGTCCACCCAATGTCTGCATCCCGGCCGTCATCCGCCGAGTGCTGAGGTTCTGCAGTTTTTAGTGGATAACTTGATCCAGCAGGTCGTCACCAGTACACCTGCCAACGGGGAAGATCTCTCTCCAGAGGCGAAATCAGGGCTGGAGATCCGGTGACATCCGGTGGCTGTTTCGTATATCGGCTGGAGATCCTACAATGAGGGACAAGTTGTTGGAGGATCCTTACATAATGTGGGTAAAACCATAATAAACCATCCCCCAAATCACCATAAATAGTTCCCCATATGGGGTGGTTTATGGCATTACCCACATTACTAGACTTGGCCGGTTGGGTCACAGCGGCTTTGGTGGGATGCAAGCTGAAGCAGCATACTTCCATTCCTCCCGCGCCTTTGTATAGGTTGTTTCTGGTTTGTTGATCTTTAGTAATGCAGGGACCCTCAAAAACATTAAGAACAAAAATGCAGTTCAAAAATAACGACCCAGGATGTACAGATAGAGATGATCTAGATGAGTTCACCCATAGTCTCCAGGTTTCCACTGCTTCCCTCCTTCGGTGCATTGAGGCTTCCTACCTTTTGGTAATGCTTTATGCAGCCGCACAGTTTGGCTGCCCCAAAGATGGAGGCCCGGCAAAGAAAGATGTTGGAGCACTGGATTCAGATTTTCCTGTATTTTTTGAGGGCGTAGTCTAGCATAGTCATAGATTGATAATGATTAATAGATTAGCCATGATTTAGCCATGATTTAGCCATGATTTAGCCATGATTTAGCCATGATTTAGCCATGATTAGCCCATAAGATTGGGGTTTTGCATAGATTTTCTCCATATCTTGGCTACCTTACATCAGGCTTTCAGAGGTTTGCTACTTGACCCATTCAACAAAACCGCCCTGCACGGGGCCGGGAAAGGCGAACCCTTTCCACCCAAAATTGGTTGCCTCAACCCCAAGTCTTGCTTCTTCACGGTGCTTCAGTATTTATTCGAGACCAATTTTGGTCCATGTTCCCTTCCATTCCCAGAAATTTCCAAAATAGAAGATTCATGAAGATTCTTCAATTTTGGATCAGTAAAACATATCATTGAGCATACAGGCGGGGCGCGTTTTGAATTTCAAAGAATCAGCCACTGGACCTGAAGCGCAGGGTTTGGAACGATTTCACCACGACCGTCATTACCCTCTCTGGTAGACAAGATACTTGAAGATACCCCAAACATCCCCAAACCTTAAAAAAAGATGATGCTATAGTCCAGATTCACATGTTCATGTTCCATTCTTTTCTGAGCTTCCTAGATCACTGTCTCAAAATGGACCCAATATCATCAACTAGCAACTCTTGAAACTTCACAACAGTTTCCAACCATGGAAACAATCCTTATAAGAGTCATACAGTCATACAATCATATTCATACCACCTTCAACATTTAAAACAAGAAACCTATACAAAGATAAAATACTTAGTTACTTAAAAGACCTCATATACTCAAATTATTTTAATGTTACAGAAATTTCTGCCATAGATTCTTTCACAATCAAAACGGGCTGGTGACCAGGCCGACGCCTCATGACAAGGTGGGGAGTGACGACCTGTTAGGAGGTGAATATCGCAGAGGATGTCCTTTTCCTATTAGTTGATTAATAAAGGGCAAGAAATCCCCAACAAAAACGACATGTTTGTTTGAGGGTACCCTCTGGTAATTTGTTACATAGCTATTGAAAATGGCCATTTATAGTGGATTTACCCATTAAACATGGTGATTTTCCATAGTTATGTTAGGTTACCAGAGGGTATACCAAACCGGCCCAAAGCTATTTTTACCCAAAAAGGACTTTTGCTATATGAAATTGATGAAATCCCATCTCCCAACTTTTGACCGAAGTTATTGAGAAAAATCATGGAAACTGGTGGATGGAGGTGGCATTTTCCGGATGACTTTGCGAACAGGCTGTTGAACCACAAAGCTTTTGTCCCCACTTTGGTTGAAGGGAAAACTTTCAAAACCACGGTTTTTCCCTTCGTTCTCAACCAAAACCAGACAGAGATGACACCCTATGATTTGTATCCTCTCGTGGTATAATCATGTTTATACCATTAATCATTAAGAACTCGTTTTCCCTGCATAGGGGTCCAAGCAAAAACAAGTCTGCAGGATGTTGCTTCGATCATGTTTCCTGGGTAATTTCCAGCTCTCGAACTGTTCTTCTATGTATTTATTATCTCTTACACACTTGCCCTATGAGTTCTAACATGTGGTCATTACATGCACCACGTTGTGGGTCTCCAAAATGAAAGTCTCTGGTCTTTAGGGAGTTTTTCGGAAAACTTAGGGTTTCCCATGGGTTTTCCCAACAAAAAGCCAGGTTTTCCCATGGTTTTTCCCAACAAAAAGCCGGGTTTTCCCCATGGTTTTCCCCGCGGCCAACCCCCCCAAGCCATCGCCTCCGTTGTCTCAGCACCTACACCACGGAGCTGATGCTGAGTATGGGTCTCCGTGGGACCTTCCCAGCACCGGTGAAACACAGAAAACCCATATAGGGAAAATGTGGAAAATATTAGGGGCACATGGGAACATATGGGGATGGGTCAAAACCTTGTACCCCTGGTGAACATCAAAATAGCTGGTAAATGGATGTTCATCCCCCTAAAAATGGTATTAATAGGTATGGATTCCATAGCCATATATACACAATGTGGAATAGAATGGAACAAGAAGCGGAACATGATGTATTCTCTATCCTTTCATGGTGTGTTTTTGTTGGTTTTCATGGACTTTCAGCGAAGCGCCATGGCTTCGGAGATCATCCCTTGATTTCTCCCAGGTGTTGACAATTTGGCCGTGGCATTGCAACTCTACAGATCAGAGGTTGCGGACTCGGTAGACCGGGGGTTGATAGAGGTTGATGGATGATGATGATGAGGAGGAGGAGGAGCTTCATGATGGAAGGATGAACGGATGGATGGAAGATGATGATTGTAGAACTATGATGAACTATGTGCTCATTCTGATTATGTCTGATGTCAATGTTCTTTTATCTACATAGAAACACTATGTTTTGTTTTCAAGGACCCTATGTGTTTTGGCATGGAGGTTTCACATTCGCTTTTACGATGCCGTTTCCGTAAGTGATATTCTGGTTGGTGGTTTGGAACATTTTTTATTTAAGCACTCATGCCCAAGTGCCCTTCCAGCGGGGAGTGCTGTGCACACCAACTTTGGGTTATTCGTTCTTTTGGGATTTGACCGCCATGGCTTCCTTGTGGGGAGACCCCGGACCAGACGTTGTTTGGGGGTTTGATTCAGCCACGGAGCTGGGAGCCACATCTGACGTGGTTGCAGAGGTGATTTCAGCTGGTGGAGGCTCCATTTTGGCGTGCCTTTGGCCTTGTGGCCGCAATGCCAGGTTTTTGGGGACCTTCGACATTCCGCAGGAGTGCCAGGCCATCACAGCCTTTGGTTGCAAGTTGATCTGCAGGTCACCAATGCCGGTTTTCGAGGTTGGTGGCATGGACTCAGTGCTTTGCCATAGACGGTGTACCAGGGAAGACATGTGGAACATGGTTGAGCTTTGTGCTGGGATCGGAGTGGGAACTATGGGATTTAGCCAGGTTGGAATCCGCACTGTTTGTGCAGCTGACTGGTGTCTTCCCTTCACCCAGGCTTTCCAGGAGATTCACCCTGACATCCCTGTAGTGACTGGCGACATTGGGGATACCGAGGTCTTGAAACAACTGCACAGGTTGCATCCGGAGCCTGCCACTCTGATGTGTGGCTTTGCATGCCAACCTTTTTCCGCAGGGGGGCAACAGAGAGGGTGCAATGACAATAGGTCATCGACCCTGCCGAAAGCACTTCGTGCTGCAGTTTTGCTGAGATCGGTAGCAGTGATCCTCGAATGTGTACAGGATGCCGGTAGCAACAGCATGGTCCGCAACCTCGTCGATTCGTTTTCACGGCAGTGTGGCTACCACCTTGCGGAAGTGAACCTTAGGCTGGAAGATGTTTGGGTTTCCAAAAGAGCAAGGTGGTGGGCCGTTTTGACAGCTCCGTTCATAGGTCAGGTCTCACTGCGTGGATTTCTTGCATCCGAGCATCCGACCGTGCCCAGAGATCTCTTTCCTAGTCCGTTGGTTCTGTCCCCGGCTGAACTCGAACAACTTGTGCTGGACCCCGATGAATTAGAGAAGTTCCTGGCGTATGAGCAGAACTTGGGAAGGTTGTTTCTGAAATTGGATGGGAAAGCCCCGACAGCCCTCCATTCTTGGGGAAGCCAAGTGCTGAAGTGTCATTGCGGTTGTCGGTCGGGGGGTTTTTCACATGAAACTCTCAGCAAGAGAGGGATCTATGGACTTTTGGTGCCATTGCCTGCCATGGGTTCTGAATCCGACTCTTCTTTGCCCCTGCTGCGACATCCTCACCCGACCGAGGTTGCTCTTTTGAACGGAGTTCCTGAGATTGTGTGGCCCTCGGACTTGAGGCTGATCCTGGCTGGCTTAGGACAGATGGCTGCTCCGTTTCAAGCTTTGTGGATTGGAGCCCAACTGCAACAACATCTGGACACTGTTTTCCATGGTTCTAGCTCTATCGATCTCCTTGGACTTATGGACCATCTCTCGGAACGCATGACACAGATTGCAGAATCCCTGACCTTCTTGCCAGTCCAACCGTTGGATTTGCCTGAACCCCCTGTGATTGAGCTTGACCTTCCGATTGATGATGTGTCCAACACCCCATGGGTCCTATTCAGACACCTTGGATCAATTGATGAAGTCACAGTTGTGCATGAATCTGATTTGGTCCCTTACGTGGTGAAACTCAGCTCGTGTGAAGACACTGTGGAATCGGTTGTCGGTGCGACTTGTGAACTCGTTGGCTCTTCCATTGAATCCTTGCGTGTTTTGGATTGCAGCTCTGGCTTGGACTTGCCACTTGCTCACTCTGCGGCTGGCTTGTGCTTGTGGATCACTCAATGCAAAGACTCTGGTGACCCGGACTCTCTCTTTGGACATGTGGAGATTTCCCCAACGGTTCCGTGGATCGCTGACAGCCCAGTGGATGGCGCCCCCACAGCACCATCCCCTGTTGAGGCCCCATCTTCCTTTGCTGTTCCATCAGTGTTGGATCCAGTTGCCAACTTGGATGCCGAACGCCTGCTTCTGGTCACTGAACCCTCGGTCACCGACCTGTCCCTGATGCTTGCGTTGCGGAACCAAACAATGTCCTCAGTTGCCAGGAAAGAGATCCTTGCCAACCAAGGCACGATCTGGGCGGATGACGAAATGTGGTTTCATTTGACTCAGCTGTTGTCAGTTGCCAAAAAGCCCACATGGGCAGTCATGGACCCACTGCTTTGCGCCGAAGCCATCAAGCGACCCAGCTCTGGATTGATTGGCCAATGGATTCGTAACCTTGGATTTCAGCCTACTGCCATCCTTGGGGTTGTCTGTTGCAACAAGCATTGGACTCCTTTCATTTGGACTTGGACCAAGCATTGCACAATTGCTTCAAGTTGGGATGTCCCTGGTTCCCCCCCCCTGGCTTTTCGGTCCTGCACCAAGCAATCGCCACTGCTGTTGGTTCCAGAACCTTCACGGCTCACATCGTCCACCGTCAGTTTGCGGCTGAGACTTTGTGCGGCATTTGTGCCCTGCGCTTCATTGACAGCATGCTCCGAGGGAAGATGTTGCCAACATCTGAGGAAGAAGCATATCAATTGCATGCCACAGGCAGGTCTTTGTTCGTTGCTCACCTGGACTCCAACCCCTGCGTGCCCCGGCCATGGATTTTTGGTGCTGGTCTCGATCCCAAAGCAGCTGACCGTCTCCATGGGTTGTTACTTGATCATGGGGTTGATGCTTCTCAAGTCAAGCAACGTGGTTCCCTGTTGATTCAGGCCATTGGACTTGCGGCCACACAGCAGGCTGTGAACTCTGGACAGCCTTGGCGTGCCCTCAAAGCTGCTGCGAACCACGTTCGCCCTCCATTCCAAATCGTCCTCCCCGGTGAGCTTGAAGCTGTAGTCAACAAGAAAGCAGCTCAAGGAGGCCTGAAAGGTAAGAAGAAGGCCAACCCCGCATCCAAAAAGGTGCCGAACAAACCTGAGCCCCCACCTGGACTTGACCCTGCCAAACTCTTGATCGAAGATGGAATTTTCGCCCTCCAGGACGGCACTCCAGTTCGGCAAATCAATCTTGCGGACATCGGACCTTTTGCTTCAGGCGTTGTCTTGTGCACTGTGGAACAGGCGGCGGCTTACCTGCGTGCCAATCAATTGGTGTCCTCAGGCGGTCTTGGACTTGTCTTGATCAATGTCGACTCTGGTCAAATTTCCACTGCCTTGACTTGGTCTACCCAAAGGGTCATCCTTCGTTGCCAGGCTAACAAAGAACCTATCCTTGCCCCGGCTTGCCTGGTTCAACTCGGCCAACAGGTCGTCACTTCAAAACCGGCCCAAGACATCTCGGAAGCACTCCACGAGCCTGCAGCTTGCTTGAAGGTTGCGATCTACCGTGATTCAGTTGGGGACTGGGATCAGGTCGTGCGTGCACCGGTCAAGTATCTTCTTGGACTTTTGCCTCCTCTTCAGGCCTGCTCTGGTGGTTCACCTGACCAACCATGTACTTGCTCCAAATGGCACCCACCTCCGGGCTCTTGTGTTGAGGATCCAGTCCTTGACGTTTGGCGGCGGCAATGGGTTTCTCTGAACTTCCAAGCGTGTTCTGCCGAGCGTGCTGAGGTTTTCCTGGTCAATGTCCGGTGTTTGTAAACCCAGCTTGAAGCTTCTTTGGGTTTGTCTGGTCGGAACGGCTTGTTCCTGGAACCTCGCTCACTAGATGCCCGCGACTCCCACATGGAATACCAGGTCCTGTGGCTCCCCAAGGTTGACATCGCTGAGCTGACTCGACTTCAACAGTGCACTGCCGGCGCACTTGGTCTTGCCCGGGTCGGTTCCAGACTTGGCATTCGTTCACGTCTCAAAGATGCCCCTTCAGTTGCCCAAACTTTGAAACCCGGCAGTGTCTTCCTAGCCTCCGGCAGTCGATCCACCTTCGAACTTGGGCCACTACCATTCGGCTGTGACAGGCTCACTGTCAGCAAACTCTGCGGCCAGTGGGGATGGAAAGCGAGGCCCTTGCATCCATGCAGAACTGTGGACGGAACGTTGGGCAATATGTGGCGAGTCCAAGCATGCACTCCACCACCCAACAATGTGGTATATTACCACGGAAGCGAGATTGTGATCACGAAGGTTTCAGATGCCGATCAGCCTGCCCAGCACTCTGCTGCGCAAATCATTGGCAACTCCGCCACGGTTCAGCTCTGCACCAAAGAAGCCGCGCCTGCCATCGACCCCTGGCTGAAAAACGACCCGTGGGCCCCTGCCCCTGGACTTCCGAATCCCACCCCCCAGGGAGATGCTCATACCTCCATCAAGGAAGTTGAAGCCAGGATCACCCAGAACGTTTGGGACAAGTTCAACGCAGGTACCATGGAGGTCGACTCGAACGCCACGGAAGCCAGGTTTGCTGCTCTGGAGCAACAAGTTCAGAGCCTTACTGCCCACCAACAACAGATGGAGGTTGCCATTGAGGAATCTTCGAAGAAGTCCGACAATCAGATTGCGGCTTTGCAGGTTCAGGTCACCACCCAGATCGACAACCAAGGGCATCACATCCAAGGCATGTTCCAAGCTCAACTGCAGCAGATTGAAGCTTTGCTCACCAAGCGTGCCCGTATGGAATGATGGTGCGGCCACGCCCTTGCATCTCGCGAGGGTGGTGGCTTGAATGCTTGGAGTTGGTGGACTTTTGGTTTTTTGTGGATTTTCTTCCTGGCGTTGTATCTCGCTGTCGATTCTCCCAGTG